ATAGTCCAGACTATAGACTAGACTATAGTCCAGACTATAGACTAGACTATAGTCCAGACTATAGACTAGACTATAGTCCAGACTATAGACTAGACTATAGTCCAGACTATAGTCCAGACTATAGACTAGACTATAGTCCAGACTATAGACTAGACTATAGACTAGACTATAGTCCAGACTATAGACTAGACTATAGTCCAGACTATAGTCCAGACTATAGACTAGACTATAGTCCAGACTATAGACTAGACTATAGTCCAGACTATAGACTAGACTATAGTCCAGACTATAGACTAGACTATAGTAAAGACTATAGACTAGACTATAGTAAAGACTATAGACTAGACTATAGTAAAGACTATAGACTAGACTATATTCCTGACTATAGACTAGACTATCGTCCAGACTATAGACTAGACTAGAGTCCAGACTATAGACTACACTATAGTCCAGGCTATAGCGCAAAATTTATAATATTGTTGGAACATTTGTTCAGACTATAGACTGACTATAGTCAGACTATGGACTGACTATATCCAGACTATGGACTGACTATAGTCCAGACTATGGACTGACTATAGTCCAGACTATGGACTGACTATAGTCCAGACTATGGACTGACTATAGTCCAGACTATGAACTGACTATAGTCCAGACTATGGACTGACTATAGTCCAGGCTATATACTAGACTATAGTCCAGACTATAGACTAGACTATAGTCCAGACTATAGACTACACTATAGTCCAGACTATAGACTACACTATAGTCCAGGCTATAGCGCAAAATTTATAATATTGTTGGAACATTTGTCCAGACTATAGACTGACTATAGTCCAGACTATGGACTGACTATAGTCCAGACTATGGACTGACTATAGTCCAGACTATGGACTGACTATAATCCAGACTATGGACTGACTATAGTCCAGACTGTGGACTGACTATAGTCCAGACTATGGACTGACTATAGTCCAGACTATGGACTGACTATAGTCCAGACCATAGACTAGACTATAAACCAGACTATAGATTAGACTATAGTCCACACTAGACTATAGTCCAGACTATATACTAAACTACAGTCCAGACTATAGACTAGACTATAGTCCTAGAGAATAGATTGACTTGACTTTAGTCCAGACTATAGACTAGACTATAGTCCAGACTATAGATTGGACTAAAGTCCAGAATATAGACTAGACTATAGTCCAGACTATAGACTAGCCTAAAGTCCGGACTATAAACTAGACTATAGTCCAGACTATAGATTAGACTATATACTACAATATAGACCAAACTTTAGTGCAGACTATAGTGCTGACTTTAGTCCAAACTATAGCGCAAAGTTTGTAATATTGTTGGAACATTTGTCCCCGGTATTGCTATTTAGAAAACTCTATTTTACACCCAAACAAAAGGTGTTAATCACTCAAACCAATGAAGGGTTAAAACTCTTGCTCTCTAGTCTAAAATATTAGTTAATATATAAGAGAGTAATATGAAGATAAGATAAAAACAAATTTGTTTAATTGAGCATAATGAGAGAGACTTTTTTTAACACAATTCAAATTAAAGTATTTGAAAAAATAAATTTAAATCTACAATTTAGTATTAATTTGTAAACGAAGCGCTAAAAAACCCTCAACGATATTAATATAATTAATCACCAAAGAGAGGGAGCGTTAAACAAAAAAAAACAATTAGTTATAAAATTGAAAAAACTCATTCATAAATTTAAAAAATACATGAATCACTACTAGTAGCACGTTAATAATAATAAAAAAAACTAAATAACAAACAATTTCTTTATGTAGATTTAACAATAGTTTGACAAACAAAATCATTGGATGATTTAATATCTAAAGTAAAATAAACAAAAAAATATTAAACAAAATGCCTTTACCCGGCCCTAATAATCGCGATCGTGTTAGAGATCCTCGTGAGGAAATTCTTTTGGAGACAAATTTTGAAGATGATGGTGTTTTGACAAGGGCCTACAATAATAATCCCTATAATAATCGGCGCAGGCCCACCTATCGTTCGGATCAATCGCTCGATCGTTATACAGAACGTGATGGTAGTGAAGGTAGTATTAATTGCAATTTTGTTTAAATGCAAAGTTTTCTTTAAAAACGTATTTTATTTGGCACTTTAGTTACTTGAAAGTAGTTTTTGTGTTCTTTGCCATAATTTCCTATGATTTTATTTAGAATTTGCACCTGTTTTACCTGCTCTCAACTTGCCTACTACCAAAAGCTATTAAGTGACCTATTTTTGCGTTAGTCTTACTTTTACAGTGTGTAAGAAAACTGTTAAAAATGTATTAAAGTACTATAATCTTACAGAATCTATTGTAATTTTGTTTTCTATTAAATTTTTTTAATACTGGAGGAAGTTTTCATAAAATTTATAAAAAGTGTTTGAAATTTATTTTATTTCGAAATTATCTTTAACACTGTTGGGTCTTTTAGTGCAGTATTTTAAAAGCTATGACTGATATTATCAAAATTGTATTACAAACATTAAGACTGCCTACCCTTTTTCGTTATCTTATCGTAGTTTGTATTATTTTCAAAATAACGTTTTATTCTACTCTCTCTCTCTAAACTGCTTTGACACTCGATATTGAAACAGAACAAACAAATTGAACACTTTGGTACTTTTTATATAAAAAGTTTTGTTAAATTTATAGTTGAGAAATTTTTTGGACTATAGGCTGGTTTATAGTCGGATCTATAGTCTGGACTATAGTCGAGTCTATAGCTGGACTATAGTCGAGTGTATAGCTGGACTATAGTCGAGTCTATAGTCTGGACTATAGTCGAGTCTATAGTCTGGATTATAGTCGAGTCTATAGTCTGGACTATAGTCGAGTCAATAGTCTAGACTTCAGTCGAGTCTATAGTCTGGACTATAGTCGAGTCTATAGTCTGGACTATAGTCGAGTCTATAGTCTGGACTATAGTCGAGTCTATGGTCTGGATTATAGTCGAGTCTGTAGTCTGGACTATAGTCGAGACTTTAGTCTGGACTATAATCGAGTCTATAGTCTGGACTATAGTCGAGTCTATAGTCTGGACTATAGTCGAGTCTATATTCTGGACTATAGTCGAGTCTATAGTCTGGACTATAGTCGAGTCTATAGTCTGGACTATAGTCGAGTCTATATTCTGGACTATAGTCGAGTCTATAGTCTGGACTATAGTCGAGTCTATAGTCTGGACTATAGTCGAGTCTATAGTCTGGACTATAGTCGAGTCTATAGTCTGGACTATAGTCGAGTCTATAGTCTGGATTATAGTCGAGTCTATAGTCTGGACTATAGTCGAGTCTATAGTCTAGACTACAGTCGAGTCTATAGTCTGGGCTATAGTCGAGTCTATAGTCTGAACTATAGTCGAGTCTATAGTCTGAACTATAGTCGAGTCTATAGTCTGGACTGTAGTCGAGTCTATAGTCGCGACTATAGTCGAGTCTATAGTCGGGACTATAGTCGAGTCTATAGTCTGGACTATAGTCGAGTCTATAGTCTGGACTATAGTCAAGTCTATAGTCTGGACTGTAGTCGAGTCTATAGTCGGGACTATAGTCGAGTCTATAGTCTGGACTATAGTCAAGTCTATAGTCTTGACTATAGTCGAGTCTATAGTCTGGATTTTAGTCGAGTCTATAAACTGGACTATAGTTGAGTCTATAGTCTGGACTATAGTTGAGTCTATAGTCTGGACTATAGTCGAGTCTATAGTCTGGACTATAGTCGAGTCTATAGTCTGGACTATAGTCGAGTCTATAGTCTGGACTATAGTCGAGTCTATAGTCTAGACTATAGTCGAGTCTATAGTCTAGACTATAGTCGAGTCTATAGTCTAGAATATAGTCGAGTCTATAGTCTAGAATATAGTCGTGTCTATAGTATAGACTATAGACGAGTCTATAATCTATACTATAGCCGAGTCTATGGTCTATAATATAGTCGAGTCTGGACTATATCTTCTCCATAATATGGTCTAAAATGTGAACTATTGTCGAGTCTATAGATTTGACTATAGTCTAGTCTACAGTCTGGTCTATAATTCAGTCTAATATATATTCTGAACTATAGTTAAGTTTTATAATACATTTAACTTTTATAACTAATTAAAGCTCTTGATATTTCATCTTTCAATCTTCCTCTTTTAACAAATCCTTCTTAATAAAAAAAGGATTACTCTTTAAAAGGGATTTTTTCCAAACATGCCAATTTCTTTTTATTCAATTTTAAAAATCGTCTAAAAGGTTCATTCACTTATTTTCGTATCATTATTTTCAACATAATTAATAGGTTAATTTAATTAATTATTGCCTAAGTCACTAATTGAATTCATTACTCTGAAGTGGGTAAAGATAAAGTGAACATTTAACCTAAAATGTTAGGAGAACAAAAAACGAGGGGAGGTTAATTAAATGGTCAACATAATTGAGTGGAGCAATATGAAATACTTATGTATGTTAGTTTGGAATGTATGTAACAACAGTGAGTAATAGATATGTGGCAAGAAATTAGCGTGTCTATTAAGTAACTTTTGTAAGACATGTTAGAGACTAAAATTTAAAGATAATTTGTCAAGAATTAGTACAATTAATCAAGAACTATTATGAGGGACAGTTGTAAATGACTAAATTTAACTTGAGTTTAAGTAAAACTTTAACTGTAGCTTAATTAAACCCTGTTTATTGAAACTCCTGTTACTGCTTAATGAGAGGATGTGGTTAAAACCCATTCAACTTAAAATTTTGTTTAATAATTTCAACTTTAAACACTATCTTTCTGTTTTCCTACAGCCTGCAATTATTCAAACTCATTTCCTAAATCCCACCACACATTTAGCTTTTAGCTATAATTATTTTGCAAAAATCCTTTGTTCTTTGAAAGTACTTAAACATATTGATGGTTGCCATTAAATTGTGATACATATTGACAATGCCTGTTGTAATTATTATTATGTATTTCTTTCCAGGTGATTGCTGTCAGTCATGTATGGCGCGTATACCTTATGCCACCCTAATAGCCACATTAATGTGTCTCTTAGGTGTGGGTATATTCTGTGGTACCATGTATCGTGGCGCTTCTTTAACCGTTATTATGGTAGATCAAGTCTTTCATTTGCGTTTAATATGGTAAGTGTACAGAGAGACAAGTTTATTGTTGTCATTGTTTTAATTATCTGTTTAATTTTTATGTTTTTACTTAAAAAAAACAGGATTGAAGCAGTGCAAATGATTTTTGTTACCATTGCCGCTGCCATGGCTGCTTTGGGTTTTATGATTTTATTCGTTGGTTTTCTGGCAACTGGAGCGACTCGTTACAAGGTCTATCGAGCATGGCGTTCGCGTGTCGGTGGTCGTATATCGTGTGCAGTGGTAAGTGACATAAAATTTTCAAATAGTGAAAGTTTTTTTCTTTAAAAATCTTTTAATTTTTTGTTTTTCTTCTTCTAGCTAATGGGTTTAACATATTTGCTTAACTTTGTTTGGACCCTGATCTTGTGTTTTTTGGTTATTTGCACTTTTATTTATACCATGTTCTGGAATATGTGCTCAAGTGTGGAGAGCTCTTTAAGTTGTATAGATTTAACACAATTTCGTAAGTGGATTTTTTTTTTAATATGGTCCAGACTATAGACCCTAGACCAGACTAATATCAATATTATAGTACTGACTATAGACCAGTTTATAGTCAAGTCTATAAAGCAGACTATATTTTAAACTATAGACCAGTGTATAAACTAGTTTACGGTCTATAGTTAAGACTTAAGAACAGACAATTATCAAGAATATAGTCCAAACTATACACCATATTACAGTCAAGACTACAGTGCCGCTTATAGATGGGACTATAGACCAAACTATAGTCAGGACTATAGTCAAACTATAATCCATATGGTAGCCAGATTATGTAGTCAAATTATAGTCTTGATAATAGTTCAACTATAGTCCAGAATGCAGTCTTGATTGCAGTCAAACTCTAGTCCAGATAGTAGTCAAACTCTAGTCCAGATTATAGCAAAACTGTAGCCTAGAAGAAAGTCAAACTTTTGTCCTGACTATAGCCAAACTATGGTCCAGAATGTAACTAAACTATAGTCAAGTTTATAGCCAGACTGTAGCCTTCATTATAGTAAAACTATAGCCCAAAATGTAACCAAACTATAATCCAGATTGTATCCAGACTGTAGCCTAGATTCTAGCCAAACTATAGTCGAGTCTGTTGTCAAACTATAGTCAAAAATGTAACCAAACTATAGTCCAGAATGTAACTAAACTATAGTCATGTTTATAGCCAGACTGTAGCCTTGATTATAGTAAAACTATAGTCAAAAATGTAACCAAACTATAATCCAGATTGTAGCCAGACTGAAGCCTAGATTGCAGCCAAACTATAGCCGAGTCTGTAGTCAAACTGTAGTCCAAAATGTAACCAAACTATAGTCCAGATTATAGCCAGACTTTAACCTTAATTGTAGCCAAACTATAGTCAAGTCTATAGCCAAACTATAGTAGAGTCTATAGTCAAACTATAGTCCAGGCTATAGCCAAACTATAGTCCAAACTTTAGCCAAACTACTATCCGCAATAAAGCCATACTTTAGAGCAGACTATAACCAAACTATAGACTAGGCAATAGCCAAACTATAGTCAAGATTGTAGTCGAACTATAAACCAGACTATAGCCAAACTATAGACCATGTTACGGTTCAGATGATAGACTAGAATATAGTCCATACAAAAGACCAGAATATTGTTCAGACAATTGACTAAACACTTTAGACAAAACTAATTTATATGATATAAACTATAAACAATTCTTTATCCACTTACAGATTTCATGTTTCCCGCCAACACCAAACCGGAAGATATGAAAATATGTGAAAAATACGAAATCAAAGCATTCTGCAAAGATGGTGTAGAAAATGCTGAGGTAATGTTCATATTAGCCACCCTAGCTACACTTCTCGTCATCCTCAGTCTAGTGCACTATCTAATGTGTTTGTCCGCCAACTATGCTCACATACGAGATCATGAGAAATTCCAGGAATTACAAGAAATACAAAATCTCAATGAACTAGAATATAGCGCAACATCGAAAGATCGTTTCTAGGACATATTTCAGAAGATTCATTTTGAGCTTAAAGAGAAGTAAGACGATGACATAAACTGAGAAGAAGAACAATAACAAAAATATAATGACAAAATTTATTAGAACTATGTAATAGTAGTTTTGTTTTAGTTAATATAATTTTTGTTTTAAAAATAGACTAAAAAGGAACATCTTAAACAAACATATTATTTCATTGTTTTATATTTAGTTAGTTATTATTATTATATAATTTAGTTTAAGTTAAAATTTATTTAATTATTTCCATTTTTTCATTAATTTTTATAAAACATTTTTATTCTTTAGTTTTTATAAAAGAGAGTTTTAAGTTTCCGCTTTGACGGACTTTTAACTTTGAATCAAAACATATCAATTTATTTTTTTTTTTATAAAACTTTCAGCTGTTTATTTGTTTATATGAATAAAATGCCCTCCAATTGTTTTTACTTTTCTCCGTCCTTAGAAAATTTCTTTAAAGAAAAATAAAATTTTGCTTGAATACAATTTGTTTTTTTTTTTTTTTTTTTGGTTGTTGACTATTGTTTAAAATATTTTGTTAAAAAAAGGTTGTAACCAAGTTATAATCAAGACTATAGACTAAACGAAAGACTATAGTCCACACTATACATAGTCAAATTGTAATTCAGCTTGTAGCCAAACTACTGTTCAGACTAAAGTCAGACTGCAGTTCAACTACAGCCAATCTTTAGTCCAGATTATAGTTAAACTATAGTGCAGACTATAGTCAAACTATAGACAAGACTTTAGCCAAATTATAGCCAAAATATAGTTCAGACTGTATACACATTATAGTTCAGACTATAGTCAAAACTTTAGCCAAACTATAGTCAAGACTTTAGCTAAGCAATAGATCATACCATAGCCAACATATAGTCCAGACTATAGCCAAACTGTTGACTTGACTGTAGCTAAACATTAGTCCAGATTATAGCCAAACTGCGGACCAGACTGTAGCCAAACTATAGTCTATACTATAGCCAAACTATTGTCAAGTCTCTCGCTAAACTATAGATCATACCATAGCCAACATATAGTCCAGACTGTAGCAAAACTGTTCACTTTACTGTAGCTAAACATTAGTCCAGACTATAGTCAAACTGTAGTCCAGACTATAGTTTAACATAAGCCTAGATTGCAACTAACTATAGTCCAGACTATAGCTAAACTATAGTCCAGACTATAGCTAAACTATAGTCCAGACTATAGCTAAACTATAGTCCAGACTATAGCTAAACTATAGTCCAGACTATAGCCAAACTATACTTCAAACTATAGCCACACTTTAGACCCGACTATAACCAACATATAGTCCAGACTGTTGACTTAACTGTAGCTAAACATTAGTCCAGATTGTAGACCAGACTGTAGTCAAACTTTAGCCTAGACTATAGCCAAACTATAGAACAGACTATAGTCATACTATACTCCAGACTATAGCCAAACCAAAGCTTTAACCAGACTATGGTTCAGACTATAACCAAACTATAGTCTATACTATAGCCTACTTTAGTCCAGACTATAGGCAAACTATTGATCAGACTATAACCATATTATAGATCAGACTATCGCCATACTATAGTCTATACTATAGCCATACTTTAACCCAGACTATAGCCGAGCAATAGTTCGGACTATAGCCAAATAATAGTCCAGACTATAGCCAAATAATAGCCCAGACTATAGCCTAACGATAGTCCTTACTAGATCCTAACTATAGTCGTTAATAGAGCCATACTTTTGTCCAGACTATAGCCTAGCTGTGGACTTAACAGTAACTAAACATTAGTACTAATTATAGCCAAACTATAGTCTACACTATAGCCAAACTATAGTCTATACTATAGCCAAACTATAGTCCAAATGGTAGCTAAACATTAGCCCAGATTGTTATCAAAGTATAGACCAGGCTGAAGCCAAACTTTAGAACAGATTGTAGCCAAACTATAGACCATTCTGTAGCCTATTACCAGTACCTTTTATAGCAACCTTTTAAACAGCTTTTTTTAATTATTTTTAAATATAATTTTTTACTAAACAATTCACACAATACATCATCATCAACACTATGACCAACAACCATTTTTATATTGAATATTGTGCTCAAAATGAATTCTTCTGAATTTGCTTGTAAGAAAACAACTAACACAAACATAATTTAAAGACATACTAAAAAAATGCCAATTTAATTTTAATTAAAAACAAAGACACATTTAGGTTTAATTTTAAAAAATAATTAAGAAAACAATTTGAAATTTAACTTACAACATTGTAAGGCTGCCTTTTGCTTCTACAAAAACTTCAAACTTTGCTAATGAATGTATTCCTTTGGCCTTAAGCTATTTTCATAAACTTCTCTCCAAACCAAATGTGTCTAAATAATTTAAAAAAAAAAAGAAATCTAAATTAGAATTTAGCTTAATAATTTAAATAAAAATTAAACGAAATTAATTGCAATTTTAAATTGTTTTTGTAGTAAACTACTTCAAATCTAAACAAAAATATAATTAAAACCAAATAAAAGCAATATTCTCTCAAAACTCTATTAAAAATAAAGCTTTTTCTAACTTAAACATAATTATGTACAACAAAATGTTAACGATTTACAACAACGATTTCAGTTTTAACATAAACCTAAATAAACTGCCAATTAGACTTTTTAAATTAACAACAACAATGTAAATACAAAAAAACAAAACTAAACTTTTGTCTTAAAACACAAAATTTCTATTAAAACAAAACATTTGGGTACAAATGCATAAACCTTTTGCTACTATATTAAAACTGAATAATAATTACCACCCAATTAAACTGTAAAAAAATTTTTACAAAAAAAAAAAATAATAAAACCACGTTTTTAAATTATTACATAAATTTAAAAAAATAAATTAAATTGTAATTATCTATTAATATATTGTATATTTTATAAGTTCTTTTTTCAAAATAATTATAAAAAAAAAAGAAAATCTTATAAATAATTATAATTATAAACTGTTTAATTTCTGTCTGATTAAAAAAAAAAAAAAATAAAATTTCTATACAAAATTTCAAAAATATAGATTTATTTTCAAATTAAAACCCAACAAGCTTTAAGCCTCGTTTTCTCTTTAAATTTAAAAAAATATAAATGTTTAAAACCCCGCCAATTAGTATTATTAACTTAAAACGTTAATAAAACTATTGTAGAGTCATTCGCTCCTTTGTCATGACCGGCATTACGGTATTTAGGTAAAGTTTTTATCGAAAAAACTTCATGGGATGATGATTTGTTGCTATTGCTGGCGCTGTGGTTTTTGGGGTCATGCATACATAATCGTAATCATGGTTTGCACGATAATTATTATCACCGGTGGCGCCACTATTGCTGGTTTGTTTGAGTAACCTTTCAATAGTGGGCAGGTGAGTGATTTTATCTCTGACTTGTAGCGGCAGATCGTCATGGGGACCAAAGTGTGTAGAGACACCGGTTGTATGGGTATAGGTAATGCCTCCTCCTTGGGCCGCAGGTATTATGGAGATCAGGGAACCATCATGAAATTGCACTTGTACAACTCCGTGGGAAAGCTGCAAAAGAAAAATTTGGTTTTATGAAAGTTTTCTAAAGGAAATTTTATCAGTTTAAAGTTTTCTCTATGGAAAGCTTTAACGGATAAAGCTCCTGTAGGAAAACGGATAAAATTTTCTTATCCGGTGAAGTTTTGTAAATAAAAACTTAACCAGATAAAGTTTTCTATAGAAAAACCTTATACGTATAGAAAAAACTTGTATGGATAAAGTTTTCTATATGAAAAACTTATCCGGATAAAGTTTTTTATATAAAAAACTTGTATGGATAAAGTTTTCTATATGAAAAACTTATCCGGATAAAGTTTTTTATATAAAAAACTTACCCGGATAAAGTTTTTTATATAAAAAACTTACCCGGATAAAGTTTTTTATATAAAAAAAACTTACCTGGATAAAGTTTTTTATATAAAAACCTTATCCGGATAAAGTTTTTAATATGAAATCTTATCCGGATAAAGTTTTTTATACAAAATTTTATTCAGATAAAGGAAAACCGTAAACGGATAAATTATCTATAAGAAAAACTTATCCGAATAAGGTTTTCTAAATGAAAATCTTATCCGAATAAAGTTTCTATATGAAGAACTAATTCGGATAAAGTTTTCTCCATAAGATATTTATCCGGATTATTTTTTCTCCATGAAAAATTTATCCAGATAAAGTTTTTTACAAGAATATTTTATCAGGATAATGTTTTCTATAACAAAATTTCATCCGGATAAAGTTATCTGTAAGAAACTTTTATTCGGATAAAGTTTTCTACAACAAATTTTTATCCGGATAAATTTTATTATAAAAAAATGTATTTTTATTAAATTTTCAAATAATTTTTATTCGGATAAAGTCTTTAATTTTTAGAAAATTTTATCCGGATAAAGTTTTTTACAAGAATATTTTATCCGTATAATGTCTTGTCTAACAAAATTTCATCCGGATAAAGTTTTCTATAAGAAATGTTTATCCGGATAAAGTTTTCTATAACAAAATTTTATCCAGATAAAGTTTTTTATAAAAAATTTTAAGCGCATAAAAGTTATGTATACAAAATTTTATCCGAATAAAGATTTTCTCTAAACAATTTTATCCGAATAGAGTTTTTTGTAAGAAATTTTATCCGAATAAAGTTTTCTATAAAAAAATTTATCCGAATAAAAGTGTTCTATAAAAAAGAAAATTTTTAAGAAATTTTATCCGAAGAAAGTTTTCTCTAAAAAAATTTATCCGGATAAAATTTTTCATGAGAAAAAAACTTATCCGAATAAAGTTATCTATTAAAAATTTTATCCGAATAATGTTTTCTAAAAGAAAAATTTATCCGCATTTAGTTTTAGTGTTTAGTGTTGTATAAAAAATTTTATCCGAATAAAAGTTTTGTATCAAAAATTTTATCCGAATAAAAGTTTTGTATACAAAATTTTATCCGAATAAAAGTTTTGTATAAAAAATTTTATCCGAATAAAAGTTTTGTATAAACAATTTTATCCGAATAAAAGTTTTGTATAAAAAATTTTACCCGGATAAAGTTTTTCATAAAAAAAACTTATCCAAATAAAGTTATCTATAAAGAATTTTATCCGAATGTTTTATAAAAAAAATTTATCCGAATAAAGTTATAAAGTTCTTTATAAAAACTTTATCCGAATAAAGTTCTTTATAAAAAATTTATCCGTATAAAGTTTTTTATAAGAAAATTTTATCCGAATAAATTTCTATAAAAATTTTTATCCAAAAAGTTTTCTTTAAAAAATGTTATCCAAACAAAGGTTTCTATTAAAAATCTTATTCGAATAAAGTTTTTTATAAAAAAATTTTATCCGAACGGCGTTTTTGTAAGAAAATTTTATCCGAATAAAAGTTTTCTATAAAAATTATTATCCGAACAAAGTTTTCTATAAAAAAAACAGCATCCGAATAAAATATTCTATAACTATTTTTACCCGAATGAAGCTTTTTATATAAAAATTTTATCCGAATAAGGTTTTCTATAAATATTTTATTCGAATAAAATTTTCTATAAAAAAATTTTTCCGAATAAAGAGTTTCATATAAAAAATATTATAGGCATAAAGTTTCTATATGAAAATAAAAGTTAAGCTCCCTTTCTTTACCTCTGTGGCCACTCCAATGCCCGGCACTGTAACCCTTTTAATTGGAACATTTTGCTGCGACGCCATTAACTGTTGCTGTTGTTGCTGCTGCTGCGTTTTACTCTCATAATGCAACGAGGACATGGTACTCAAAGAAAAATTAATCGAAGATGTTTGTTGAGTCTTGGGCGTAGAGGAATACATTAAAACATTACTTTGATCACGTCTCTGGGTAGAAATTGATTGAGGCTGTAAATCGGTGGTAGGTCGACGTCCAATAACCAGAGGAAAACAACTATGAGAACTTGATTGATCTGACAACTCCAAAAGCTGACAAATATTTCGGCAGTGATCAAAACAGGACTGTTGATGTTCAAGTAAAGGTTGAGCTTGTGACAGTTCCATTTCAAGATTAAGTTGGCGTCCATGCTTATCGTAAACTTTAGTGCCTTCACTGGGTGACTTGGTCACTTTAGCGCCACTATAAAAGCAAGCCTCAAAGTCTTCTAAAGTCTCCATTAAGGCACATTTTGCCTGGCTGCTGTAATAGGTGATTTTAGGTGTCTTACTTTTAACCAAACCCACAAATCGAGCAGCATAAACATATTTCTTCCAGTGTTTCGAAGGTAAATTGTCATAGGAAAATATGCAGTCGGCTGAGGTGTTGTTGGGTAAATCTGGAGGACGTTCTGCTACAGGTAGACCTCTTCCCGGATCTGGTTGGTAGATTATAATACGCATGCCATCACTGGATATCCAGCAGATGTCAGTAATACGATCGCTATTGTATTTGGCGCGATATTTAATGAATTCCAAGACCACTTCACCATGTTTCAAAATGCTCATAATGGCATTTTTAGTCTTGTAGCGAGTGGGCAGTAAACGTTTGGTATTTAAAGGAGGCACTGATATATGTTCGGGGTTCTTATCAGGTTTATTGTTAACCTTTGGAGTAGCCTCATTGGAACGTGTTGAGTTTGTGGTGCTGGTGGGTATGCCGGGTATCATATTCTGCTGCTGTTGTTGTTGTTGCAATTCCAAATTATAAGAATTTGTTTTTTGAACTGCTGCTGCTGGTTGTTGATTTACTTGAGGTTTATGTAGAAAATCATTTTCTTGATTTTCCATTTGAAACTGTGGACTTGAAGCATAGGGTCTGAGTGAAGAAGGAGTTCTCCAGTCTAAGTCCATACTGTCGGCGTTAGAAGTGGTAATGTGTGGCTGAAAAGGTTTGTTTTGTGAGAAATTATCTTGGGCTGGGTGTTCGTAAGATTGATGTTCATAAATTTGAGCCATGGGAGGACGCCGAGAGTATTTATCTGTAGAACGAGGACGCGACGAACTGGAGGCATTACCTGGTAAAAATAAAGTGGGAGAATATTATTGAAAAAATCTGTTTCAGTTCAGTTCAAGTTCAGTGCTCGTTCTATTTCTAATTCAGTTCAGGTTTAGCATGGACAGGTTATGATTTTGTTTACAATTAAATTTAGTGTATAAAATACTCACTGCTGGCAAATGTTATGATACCACTATCACAACTTGAGGCACTCTGATTATAACCCAACGAACTGCTCGTACTATTGACACCCATATTTTCCACCGTAGACGAGCCAAAACGTTTCATAAAAGGATGCTGCAAAACCTGCTCCAAACTTATTCTTTCAAGAGGATTTTTCTTCAATAACTTATCAATTAAATCCCTGGCATCAAATGACACATAGGAGGGAATATGATAATCCGACATGACCACACGATTGAGAGTAGCTTGAACAGCATCAGTGTCAAATGGAGGCTGACCCACCAATAAAGTATAAAACATACAACCCAAGCCCCAAACATCGGCGGGCAGACCATGTGAAGCTCTGGAAACAACTTCGGGCGATATATAGTTGGGAGTGCCACACATGGTAACATGACGTTCATCGGGCCGCTTGAGTTGGGTGGCTAAACCAAAATCGGCTATTTTAATGTGCATATCCTGACTTAGCAGCAAATTGGAGAGTGATATATCACGGTGCATTATTTGGTGAGAATGCAAGTACAAAAGACCAGCCACAACTTGGCTTAAAATACTGGCCGCCTCTGGTTCAGTCATGGGACGACGCATTACTTGCTTCATATAGCGCTGCAGTTCACCATTTTGCGCTAATTCTAATACCAAATACACATAATTGGCATCTTGGAAGAAGGTATACAATTCCAGCACCGAAGGATGCTTAAGACGCGAGTGTATCTCCACTTCCTGGCGCACACGATTCGCCAAGGCAGGTCCTTGTATAAGTTTTTTATCTATCTGCAAGTGTAATTAGAATTATGTTAAGAGCAAGATCCTTTTTTATTTCATCCTTTAATTACCATTTTAATGGCCACCATTTGTTGTGTTCTTAAACATTTCGCCTTGTAGACACTGGCGAAACCTCCCTTACCCAATAAATTCATTACTTCATAGTCCTGCAATAAAAATATTCTTATTTGTCGAAATGTATCTTAAATTCCTTTAAACTCTTACAACTTACATTGATACTTTCACCCCATTGTGCCGTTTGCAAAGCCATTTTTCATTTAATTTTTGTATATTTTAATATAAATTATAAATATATTGCTTTTATTAACTTTTTTTAATATTTTGTTATGTTTACTTTTAATAAAAACACAACAAAACAAAAACTACAAACAATTGTTTGTTAGATTATTGGCTGTACTCCTTTTTTCTCTATGCCAGCGTATTTAAATTAAGAATTCAAAAAAGAACGCCAAAAACAATAAGAATTTATACAAGGTGGTGTTAAATAAGCAGCTAATATATTTTCTAAATGTCAAACTAGTTATATAAGTAATTCATTCTGTAAAATCAAGCTGTCAAACTATATATATAAAAAATTATTATTTCTCTCTTGTTGACATCTAATCAAAATTCGCCTTGAAGTAAACACTACTAAACACAGCTAACACAAGGTTGTATTTTAATTCATGCCTTTAGACTGCAATATTGCCATATGAATATAAAAAAAATAAAAAAATCTCGCCTTTACTAATAATAAAGATAAAAAATATTTAAATTTTAATTGAAACAATATAAATTAGTTAATTCTTTACTATCCATATTTATTTTTCATTGTAATTCTTATAGATTTAAAATTATTTATATAATTTTGTTGCAAGTAAAATTTTAATATATAATTTAGGAATTTATCATTTTAACTCGGTGGCATTACTTTTATTGTTTTTCTCAGAAATGTCAAGAATTTTTCTCACAAGCTGGCAACTATTTTTCTACCATAAATAATTTTGTAATCATCATCCAAGAAGGGTGCTCTATATTCTGATTCTTGGCCAATTTTTTTCCTTTTTTACAAAAAAAATCCAACAGATTTTTTTCATGAAACTATGCTGGCGTTTATAAAGCAAAACACGCCTTATTGATTAAATGAAAAAACTTTGAAAATTCTAAAATTTATTAATAAATAAAAGAAAAAAATATTTGTCAACTTTTTGACTTGTGGCCAAATTTCACAAGTGCAGTTGAGACTCCTTGATGGAAAAACTAACAACAACAAAAACAGGCAACAAGTTTTACGTATTTCAAGTAATTACAAAAATTAAAAAACAAACCATCATCAAAATAAAGTGATTTTTAATTAAAATATAACAAAGTGAAGAAAATGTGCTATAACTAAACAGTGTCTCAGTGTAATTTAACAATTTTAAAACAAAAATTCAGAATTTGCAAAAAACCAACATAATTAATTTAAAAGAACACACGATAAACAATTAATTTATTACTATTTGTTGCTATTTACGTGGGAAACTTAAGAATTAATCGCAAGAGTAGAGTTTTGTGAAATAAAAAAAAAAACAAAATTGCAATTTTATTTTCAGGGTTGTTAATTAGAGCACAAGTTATGAACATTTGTATTTATGTATGCCTGTGTTAAACATCTGGCAACTTTGTAATCGTTGCTTTAATTTGACAGTTCTGCCATCTAACCTCAAACACGGGCTAAAAAGTGACAAGTTTTCTCTTCTGCAATAATTGTCGGCCACCACACGGAAAATTAAAAAAAGAAACTTTTTAATTGTTTAAACAAATTACAAGTGTTATATTCATAAAACAATAATAAAATTCCGCTAAAACAATATGCCTTAAAGTGCAAATTATAAAAGTTTTTCTCGTAAAAAACGTTAAACAAAACAAGTGAAAAGTGTTAGTAGGAAAAAAACGAAAAGTAAAAGAAAAAATAACAACAACTACAACAAAAACAGTGACTAAACCAAAATATACTGAGAGATTTGTTGGTGGGATTGATGGAGAAGGAGCTGGGCACCAAATACGCAGTAAATTCTGCGGATGAACTTGACATCGATAGTGATACTCCGCACAAGAAATCAAAAAAATCCAAAAAGAAAAAAAGTAGAAGAACACACGATAAAACAAACAGCTCACGCAGTCGAAGCAACAGCTTAAGACGTCAATCATCCTCTAGTGGTCACGGCGGTGTCGATGCCACCAGTCGTGCCACCACCAGTAGTCAAAAACTCCACAATACCACTACCTCCGATAATATAGTTGAATACTCGGATGTAAGTTCTACCGATTTTTCAGATCCCGAGGCGGGTGAAATCAGTTCAGATGCTTCGGTGGGCAAACGTTGTGATAAGCTTCTCGCCACCACGAATGTGGGTAAAAAGCGTCACAATGTTGTAACGAATAAGAATAATACCAAACCTGCCGCCCTAAAGACCGATGCTCGTTCCGATGTTAATCTCAGCAGTGATGAGGAAAATTATAGGTAATTTTGGTGTTTATTTTTGTATGTTTATGATATAATTAATCAATTGCACGCTAGGAGCACCTTTATTTTTGACATTTTTTATATAAAATTTACAAATTTAAAGTATGTGATAATATTTTAAATTTTGAAGAGAGGCTTATCTTGGGGGCAATGACCGTTGAAAGACTTTGTCAAGGACTGTTACTATAAAACGGTGATATTATAATGAGGGATAAATGATCATTAAAAGGCTACTGAACCTAATTAAAACAACTTGTTTCGGTTACCATTACTCAAAGTTAACTAGATATTAGCTAGAAATGAACAAGAAGTGATCTAGAACAGAACTAGAGCTAAATTAGAAATGATCTAAAACTGAACTAGAACTCAACTACAACTGAACTAGAACTGAACTAGAACTTAACTAGAACTGTACTAGAACTGAACTAGAACTGAACTACAACTGAACTAGAACTGAACTAGAACTGAACTAGAACTGAACTAGAACTGAACTAGAACTGAACTAGAACTGAACTAGAACTGAACTAGAACTGAACTAGAACTGAACTAGAACTGAACTAGAACTGAACTAGAACTGAACTAGAACTGAACTAGAACTAGAACTGAACTAGAACTGAACTAGAACTGAACTAGAACTGAACTAGAACTGAACTAGAACTGAACTAGAACTGAACTAGAACTGAACTAGAACTGAACTAGAACTGAACTAGAACTGAACTAGAACTGAACTAGAACTGAACTAGAACTGAACTAGAACTGAACTAGAACTGAACTAGAACTGAACTAGAACTGAACTAGAACTGAACTAGAACTGAACTAGAACTGAACTAGAACTGAACTAGAACTGAACTAGAACTGAACTAGAACTGAACTAGAACTGAACTAGAACTGAACTAGAACTGAACTAGAACTGAACTAGAACTGACTGAACTAGAACTGAACTAGAACTGAACTAGAACTGAACTAGAACTGAACTAGAACTGAACTAGAACTGAACTAGAACTGAACTAGAACTGAACTAGAACTGAACTAGAACTGAACTAGAACTGAACTAGAACTGAACTAGAACTGAACTAGAACTGAACTAGAACTGAACTAGAACTGAACTAGAACTGAACTAGAACTGAACTAGAACTGAACTAGAACTGAACTAGAACTGAACTAGAACTGAACTAGAACTGAACTAGAACTGAACTAGAACTGAACTAGAACTGAACTAGAACTGAACTAGAACTGAACTAGAACTGAACTAGAACTGAACTAGAACTGAACTAGAACTGAACTAGAACTGAACTAGAACTGAACTAGAACTGAACTAGAACTGAACTAGAACTGAACTAGAACTGAACTAGAACTGAACTAGAACTGAACTAGAACTGAACTTGAACTGAACTAGAACTGAACTGGAACTGAACAAGAAATGAACTAGAACTGAACTTGAACAGAACTAGAACTGAACTAGATCTTAATTGAAATTTTAATGTTATATTTATTTTTGTGCTAAAAATTTAAAAATGGGTGCCCACAGAGTGCAGTTATTTTCCTATTGAATTATTGCTTATTAATATTCACTATAAATTATATCTTCTTATTTATTTTTTCTACTCTTTTTTATAAATATTATAACTTACACGTATTGCAACGCAAGACTTTACCACGCCTTCTCTAGGTGGGTGTAAACCAATATTTAAATATTAATATTGTAAAAACTAAATATCACACAAATTTATCTAACGTTTTTAATAATAAACTAAAATAAATTCACTTTTTTAGAAACAAAAGGAAAGAAAGCTTTGATAGTTTATCCCGGCTCTCACCTAATCATGTGCGACGCATTATTCTGGGTTCTCCCGTACCCAGCACGACAAAAGTTAGTCTAAGTGAAACCCACAGTGCCGCCAAAATCTTGGACAATAAAGATAAAGAGCGGCATCAGGTTGAAAGTCGGCGTTCCTCAATATTGACACCACCCTCAGCCAGTCATAAGTCACAAGAGAAACTTGTGGCCGATGAGTCGGACTGGGATGAGGAATTGGAAAATTATTTGTCTAGTGATACCATTGACACCGATGAATTGGAGGCTGAAATGAAGCGACAAAAGCGTAAGAAAAATAAAAAAGACAAAAAACACAAGCGCAGTCGTAAATCGAAAAAGCGCAAAAAGAAACGTAACAAATCCTTCTCCAGCATAGAACCCATATCGGATAATGATTTAGAAGATGTTTTAGATACTAATGTGTCTTTAAGACACTATACACCTCCCGCAGAGGGCGTGCCAACGGCCAAAAGTCCCTCAGATCCTACTTATACACCCATTAAGCAGCGTAGTCCACGTTCTTCGGATACCCCACCTCCTATACGTCCTGGCAGTAGCAATAGCTATTATTCCGAGTCGGCTAATATGGCAGTACAAGCAGGTGTTTCAACCACTTCCACAGCGCCGGCAAATAATCTGGTTGGCTTACAAGTTACCGTAACAAATCGTTTGGGTGGCGCACGTCATCGTACACCACCACGTACTTCTAATACAAAAAATCGTTTTCCAAATCCTCATTCACCGCATACGCCTCCTCTGTATGCTAGTGGCAGTAGTTCTGTCTCCGGTCGTGAGGTGCGTAGTTCACGTTTTGTCATTAGTCCGGGTAAGGATGATCATCGTCATCATCATCACCATCATGTACGTCCAGATATTGCTGGCACTCCTGGCAATCATCATTATCATCAACGTCAAACGGCAGCAGTCATTACAGAGAGTCACAAATATAAGGACACCGATCGTTATTACCACCATCAACCATCGACGCCTCCGCATAAGAAACGAAAAATGCATGATGTCCGTAATGCAGCGAATTCGCAAAGTTATTATGATCATGGCCGTCACGACAGTCGAAGTAGTTCGCGTAATATGCGGCCGAGTGAATATGATCGTTATAATAGAGATAATTACTCGAAACGTTATTCCAGGTAAGTATGGGGAAGAATAATACATGTTTTTTACTACACTGAACTAGAACTGAACTAGAACTGAACCAGAACTGAACTAGAACTGAACTAGAACTGAACTAGAACTGAACTAGAACTGAACTAGAACTGAACTAGAACTGAACTAGAACTGAACTAGAACTGAACTAGAACTGAACTAGAACTGAACTAGAACTGAACTAGAACTGAACTAGAACTGAACTAGAACTGAACTAGCACTGAACTAGAACTGAACTAGAACTGAACTAGAACTGAACTAGAACTGAACTAGAACTGAACTAGAACTAAACTAGAACTGAACTAGAACTAAACTAGAACTGAACTAGAACTGACCTATAACTAAACTAGAACTCAACCAGAACTCAACTAGAACTCAACCAGAACTCACTAGAACTGAACTAGAACTGAACTAGAACTGAACTAGAACTGAACTAGAACTGAACTAGAACTAGAACTGAACAAACTAGAACAAAATTATATCTGATTCTAAAAAATATTTTTAAATTTCTTAAAAAAATAGGGTTTTTATAAAAATTTGCTAAAAATATTTGTCACATAAAATTTGAACTTATGGAAAAATAAGCTTTCCTTTAAAATTTAAATTAAATTTTTAAGAAAAACATTTTCACCAAGAAATTTATTTTTTTTTATAAAAGTTACGTTTTTTTCCCTTAAACGCTTTCTTAACGAACTTCTCTTAAAAAAGCTTTTTTACAAATTTTTTTTTTAAGTTATTCTACCACTAAATAAAGTTGTTGCTTATAAAAATTAGTATTTCTTAAAATTTTTAAAAAATGTGAAAAATATTTTATTAAAAAAAATTGTTTGCAAAAAGTTGTTTTCGCTATTACATTTGAAAAAGTTACATATATAAAATGAAATACTTATAAAGATAAGCGATTAATTGTACATTTTATCCAATTTTCTTACATATTGTCTTTTAAACGGATTGGGGGGATGATAAACTGGTGCTGTAATATAGTGTACTTGTCGTTTGCGAGTATCAGGATTAGCACCTGGAAGAGGATTAGCATAAAATTTGCTAGAAGCCACTTTAGCAGCATGCATCATTGTCTTAAAAGTGGGCCTAATAGTGGAGGTGCTAGTGGGTTTTGTTTCTGTTACAACTTCTTCTGCCTCATCAGCATTATCTTCTTGGGAGTTGTTGTCATCATCATTTGGTTTAGTTGTTTTGCCATTTTTAGCGGTAGTATCCTCAACAAAGAGATCTTCTTCGGAAGAATCAGAAGTTTTCGTAGTTTTTGAGGGAGCGGGAGTGCTGGTGGTTTTCGTTTCTGTTGTGATAGAGGATTTTTTGTTGTTTAAGTCTAAGTTTTCGGTGGATGAAGAGGAGTCTTCATTAACACGAGATTGATGTTGTGGGGAGGGTGGTGATGGATAGCTTTCATAGCTGGGTAAAGCAGCAGGAGCTATAGGATGCATGTGTGCAAATAGTTCATTATAAGCTGGACCAAACCAGGGTATGGCTATAAATATGGGATGAAAACTATAAGGACAACCGCAACAGCTATTAGGATCCGAATAAGGTGTCTTAAACAAATCCATATGTGCGGTAGGCTCTGCTGAAGGCATATAACCGGGCATTTTCCCTTGAGCATAAGAATCAAAACATTCATCATTGTTTGCTTGATTTAACTGAGCTGAGGGAGGGTTATAAAGCTGCTGCTGGTCATGATGTTTGTTAGGATTATCATCGATATTATAAAAAGTTCTTAAAATAGGATCATCTAAGTATTCTGGAGGTATGTAAGAGTTATCGCTAGCCAAACGCATTTTGTCTTCTGAGTAAAGATTTTGTAAAGGTAATATCTCATCGTGAGAAAAACCCAAGTTGGGCATACCTAATACTTCTTCCTCTATTAAGCTGTTGAATTGTTCAGGATTTATTTTATGTTCAACAGCTTCCTTTAAAGCTAGAGTGGGTAAATCTTTGACGGGTTTGCTTTCCTGACCACCATTTGCTGAACTTTTTAAAGTTCCTTCTGTTAAGGCTGAAGTTCTAGAAGTTTTTGCACCATAATTTGGTGTTTCTGGAGCAGGTTGTGGCAAAGTTTCATAGTTGTTTTGTAGGTTAGAAATAGTAGGTTTTGTAGGATTATTGGGTAGAGTGGGATAATCCGCAGCAACTGGTTGATGGTTTGTTTGAGGGCTCATATATGATGGATTATAAAACGGCATTTGAGGTGGCATTTGCTGAGCTGTATAACTAGGTGGAGAAGCAAAATGTGGAGGATTTAATGCAGGAGCAGCTGAAGATTGTGGTGTTGGTTGTTGATAACCATTACCATAGTTTAGATTTTGTGCCGGTGCTAAATGTTGATAATTATTTTCATATTGCACATTTGTTGAAGGATAATTTCCACCATCGTTTTTAATAAAATGAGGAGGTGTTAGATTCGGTGGTCTGGAGGGAAACTCAGGTCCTTTACACATATAATAAGGCTCATGACTGCCCGCTACATTTGGTTTTATTTCCACACATACTGTAGTACGTTTTTGACGAGTAAATGGTTCATAACCCGGATTAATAAAGAAGCCTTGAGACGCATTCAAACACAGCAGGAAACTAATGAAAACCGCTAATAATATTCTCCACATTTTTATGACAAAATACAGAGATCAATAGTTTTACAATTAATTGATTTAAACACGTTATTGGTTATTTAAAAAGTACTACAGATTCGTTAGATTTTTGCCTTTAAATATCTTTCATGGAGTCTCTATTCCCCAAGATTTTTTAGATTTTAAACTTTAATAGAAATTCATTGATTTCCAAACAAAACTAGTTCAATACAAATCAAATTGCTTTCTTAGGAAAAAGCTCAGAAAATTTTAAAAATTTTGTAATTTTACAATTTTAATGCGCTACACTTCTTCAAACCGCTTTAGCTACTAAACTGACAAAAAATGTTGAAATTTCCATTAACCACCAAAAAGCATTCTTCTTGACCTATATTTATTGAAATATTGGGAATTGGAGGTATTGAAGAGAAACGTTTTCTACTCGTATTAAATTCCAGTTGAGTTGGCATTATTTTACTAAAAAAAAAACTTTTTTGTAGACTTAACCAACTTTTTTGTTTAAACCATATATTTGAACTTAATGTAAAATTAATAATTTTGCAATAATAAACATTTTGCATAAATCATCAATAAAAAAATAAACTTTCCAAAGAAAAAAAAAAAACGAAAAAATTGGATGAATGTTTTGCCTTTAACTTAAAACTTATGTAATTTTATAAAAACAAAAGAAAAAAAAAAAATAATAACGAAACTTGATTTTTCTTTTTCTACATTTCAGAAGTCCCAGTCAATCACTTATGCGTATAAGAGGTGGTCAATCACCCTCTACCACCTATCGTGGTGGTTCACATAAATACAAATATCCCACTTCACCCTCACCGGTACGTTCACGTTCATCGAAACGTGAACGTTATGCCTCACGTTCACGTTCGCCAAGACCGTCACGCTATGCCGAGTCACCTACAGATTCGCCACGCAGTGGTACTCATCATTACTATCGCAATCGTCGTTCATCGTCACGCTATCGACGATCACGTTCTAAACATTCTCCTGCCAGTATGTCTCGTAGTCGTTCGCGAACGAGATCGCCGTCGAGCACGCCGCGTGATTTGAAACAGAAGCGAATAGAGTATAGTAAGAAGATAAGTGAGACGAGTTTATTCGCTGAATTGGTTAAGGATAAACATAAGAGACAAAAAGCTTTGCAGGTAATGTAAGAGAGAGAAGAAATATTTTGAAATTTACCTTTTTAAAGAGCTTTTTAATAAAAAGCTTTAACAAAGTGCTTAAAAAGTATAAAAAATTTTAAAACAATATTCAATAAAAACTATTTAAAAAGCTTTTTCCTCAAAAGAGCATTTTTGAAAAGCTTTTTTTCTTAAAAGAGCTTTTTCAAAAAGCTTTTTTCTCAAAAGAGCTTTTTTAAAAAGATTTTTTTTCTCAAAAGAGCTTTTTTAAAAAGATTTTTTTCTCAAAAGAGCTTTTTTAAAAAGCTTTTTTTCTCAAAAGAGCTTTTTTGAAAAGCTTTTTTCTCGAAAAAAAAACTTTTCTAAAAAGCTTTTCTCAAAAATGCTTTTATAAAAAACATTAAAAAGTTTTTTTATTTTTTCAAAAAAAGCTTTTTCGCAATCTCTTTCCCAAAAAGAGGTTTTTTAAAAAACGTTTTTGAAAAAAGTTTTTCCCACAAAAGAGGTTTTTTAAAAAAGCTTTTTCCTCAAATATGCTTTTTAAAAAAAAGCTTTTCCCACAAATGAGCTTTTTTAAAAAAAAAACTAACTCATAAAAGATTTTTAAAAAACTTTTCCTCAAAAGAGATTTTTAAAAGCTCAAAATAAATTGTTTGAAAAGTTTTTTATAAAACAAAATTTTCAACAGAGTTTTTAAAAAAGCTTTTTTCTAACGTTTTTTTTTAAATCCTTTTTAAAAATTTGTAAAAAACATAATTTATTAAGAGAGGCTTTCTAAAAAGCTTTCTATACAGAGCTACGTTAGTTATTTCTTAATTGAAAAATTATCTTTTCTCCCTTTCCCCAGGAAATCATTGAAAAACAGGAAGAAAATAGTAATAGTAATGGGGCTTTAGCAATAAACGAAAACAGTTCATCCATGGACAGTACGGTACCGGCTGTCAAAGCTAATGCGGATGACACTAACACATTAACCACCATAACAGCAACTATGGAAAATTCCAAAGAGATCGACATTTCACAAACAGTGCCAGCAAATAAAACTGTACAGCCAGCTGCAACAGCAACAGAAGCTACAGTGCAGACAACACAACAGAGCAATGGTGTGAAAAAACCAGCAGTGGACGTAAATAACATTCCAATGCCACAATTAGTCAGCAGCCCCACAAACAAGACAAAATCATCAGGTAATGATGAAACAGATCGTGCCCTTACCTCAAGTACCATACCTGCAAAACAACAAGATATAACTACTACCGCAGCAGCAACAGCATCATCAACAACAAAGACAACTACTAAACCTAAGAGTCTCACAGCACTGCCCATGCCTCCGGGCATAACAGCAGCTGATTTAGCAATGGCCACTTCGCCCTCACCACCACCATCATCCAATCATCATCATCACCATAGTACGAACACAAATGCCAAGCATCACAGTTCAACGTCCAAAAAATCTACAGTTAGTGGTGCGACCACGACATCGTCATCTTCTGCCTCCTCCTCCTCAGCTACAGCCAATTCTAACAAAAGTCTGCTTAATTTACCCATGCCTCCTATGGTGCCCGGCAGTGAAGATCTCAGTGGTGATGATGAACTCATCAACAGTCCCGAAGACTTTGATAATCTGGGTGGTGGCGGCAGCAATAGCAGTACCAGTGGCAGCAAATCAAACAAAAATGCTTCAGAAACAAAACGCAAACGTCCCGTCATTCTAAATAGACGTGATTCACGCAACAATGTTCGTGACTGGGGTGAACGTTGTGTCGATGTTTTCGAAATGATTGCCCAAATAGGTGAGGGTACCTATGGTCAGGTTTATAAGGCACGTGATCATCACACCAACGAAATGGTGGCACTTAAAAAAGTGCGTATGGATCATGAAAAGGAGGGCTTCCCCATAACGGCTGTGCGTGAAATCAAAATTCTACGACAACTTAATCATGCGAATATTGTGAATTTACATGAAATTGTCACCGATAAACAGGATGCTTTAGAGTTTCGCAAAGATAAGGGTTCATTCTATTTGGTATTTGAGTATATGGATCACGATCTCATGGGTTTATTGGAATCGGGTATGGTCGATTTTAATGATGAGAATAATGCTAGTATCATGAAACAACTGCTGGACGGACTTAATTATTGCCACAAAAAGAATTTCTTACATCGTGATATAAAATGCTCAAACATTTTGATGAATAATAAGTAAGTTTTGACATGAATATTTGGTTGGAAGAAGAATTTTCTAATGGAAAAGAGTGTAAAGAAAATAGTTTTTATTGAAAGAGAGTCTAAAGAAGACACTTTTGTTTTGGAAATTAGTCTAAAGAAGATATTTTTCTATGGGAAGAGAGTTTATGAAATAGACTTTTCTATTAGAAAATAGCTTAAAGAAGAGTCTATGGAGCTGTTCTAATAAAAAAGAGAAGATAGTTTTCAATTAGAAAAAGAGATTAACTAAGAGTCTAAGAAGAGTCTTTAATATGAAACATTCTAAAGAAGGCACTTTTCTATTAGAAGATTGTAAGGTAGATACGAAAAGGTTTATAGGGGAGTCTAAAGAAGAAATTATTATATTGGAAAATATATTTAAAACTTTTCTAGAGAAGACACTTTTCTAAAAGAAAATATATTAAGAGTCTAAAGAGGAAACATTTCTATTAGAAAAGAGTCTAAAGAAGCGACTTTTTATTACAAAAGATTCTAAAAAGAAAGCTTTCTATTAGAAAAGATATTGAATAAGAGCCTAAGGAAGATAGTTTTCTATTAGAAAAGAGATTAAAGAAGAGTCTAAAGAATACACTTTGTATTATAAAACAGTCTAAAGAAGAAATAGTTCTATTAGAAAAGTGTCTAAACAATGAACTTTTTTCTAAGAAAAGTTCCTAAAGAAGAGGTTTTTTCTATTATAAAAGAGATTGAACAAGAGTCCAATGAAGACAGTTTTATATTAGAAAAATTATTGAAGAAGATTCTAAAGAAGAACTACTAGAGAAGAGTTTAAATAACATACATCTGTTTACATTTCCAGGGGTCAAGTTAAACTTGCTGACTTTGGTTTGGCTCGTCTCTACAATGCTGAAGATCGCGATCGTCCCTATACCAATAAAGTCATAACATTATGGTATCGGCCGCCTGAACTGCTGCTGGGCGAAGAACGTTATGGCCCACCCATAGATGTATGGTCATGTGGCTGTATACTCGGTGAACTTTTCCTAAAACGACCACTTTTCCAAGGCAACTATGAAATGGCCCTATTGGAAAACATATCGAAAGTTTGCGGTTCACCAGTGCCGGCTGTTTGGCCGAATGTCATTAAATTACCACTCTTTCATACACTCAAACAGAAAAGAACACATCGAAGAAGACTGCGAGAAGATTTTGAGTTTATGCCGGTACCAGCTTTGGATCTATTAGATAAAATGTTGGAATTAGATCCAGATAAACGTATAACGGCAGAAGATGCTCTCAAATCACAATGGCTGAAGAGCGTTAGACCCGAAGAGTGAGTTTAAAAGAGTAACAAATGATTTTCTCTAACCAACTTAATAACTATTAAATTAAATTGACTTATTAACTAATGTTAAAACTTTAATTCTACTTTGTTTTATTCTTATAGAATGCCCGCCCCCATTTTGCCCACTTGGCAGGATTGCCATGAAATGTGGAGTAAAAAACGTCGTCGTCAACATCAACAACAGCAGCAGCAACAACAACAGCAACATCAACCCTCGGTTACACATCCTGCTGGAGCAGCTGCTGCTCAAGATGCCTAGCAGCAACAAGCTGCCGGCGATCATACCTAACAGTGTCGTAGCCCCCTTATTGGTGCATTTGCTTTGGGAAATACAAATAGCAATAAATATCGAGGAGAGTGGCGGTAGGTTTTGTGTAATGTCTGTCTTCTTAATCAAATTGTTGTTATAACTTTTTTTTTTTTTGTTAAAATGCACATGACTGTTATCGACACTTTTTTCCATATTTATCAAAAAAAAAAGTAGCAGTAAAAAATAATCATTTACCAAAAAAAAAAAAATCGATAACATAATGACATTTGTTTTAATAATCTTTATAAAAAACTACTCCAAGAATACTGGCCGGCCTTGCTGGTACATTATAATTTGTATTTATTATTAATTTACTACTACTACTCGTAAAGTAGTAAAGTTTTATTTAATAAATGGGTTTTAGTTTGTAAATGATTTTTCTTTGTTTTTTATATGAAATTTTCGATTTGGTTACTTTGGTTGTTTTTCTTTTGTATAGAAATCTTGTGGCTTTTCAAATAATGGAGTAGTTTTTTTCTTTTAGTTGTTTTAATTATTTCATTTTTTTATGATTTTTTTAATAATAAGTTTATGCTTTAACAACAACACAACAAAATTTATGAATTTTTTTTGTATACAAAAATATGAGAAGTTATTTGAATTATTACTTTCTCTTAGAAAAGAGACTAAAGGAGACACTTTTCTATTAGAAAATAGATTTAGGAGGAGTATAAGGAAGACTCTATTATAACTCTGTTCAAAGCAAAAACCAAGATCATTAACACACTCTCTCGTTGCAAACTATTACAAGTTCTATTTTGTACTAGTAATAATTATCCTATACAAAACTGAACAGCTGTCTTTTGTTTACCTTTTTGCCAGCCAACAATTTTGTGTTTGTTTTAAAATAAAAATATTTGCGAAGTAAATTATTTTGATATAATGTAAAATGCAGGTGCTTTTAAGTCTTTTGGAAGCTTTATTTCTAATTTAAAACCAAAATTTGTAAAAAATTACACGTTTCTTTTCTTGAAAGTTTTTACTAGTAAAGCGTTCATTTAATTTTTACTATTTTTGAGAGTAATTTTGTAAATTTTGATTTTACTCTCAACTTGCAAGTATTTACTGGGAAAGTAAATGAATAGACCTTATCATGGTATACTTAACAAGGTACCAGCACTTGACAGCAACCGCACGATTGTAATTTTTTTTAATGGAATTTGACAAACATGCGGTTTAAGCCTGTATACAAGTCTATGTATAAAAAAATGTAAACAATGATCAGTTGGTATAATGATGTCACGTTGTATTCAGTACACCCTGGACCTTATATTAGAAAAGAGTCTAAAGATGACAATTTTGTAGCAGAAAAGTGTCTAAGGTATCCATTATTCTATTAAAAAAAAGTCTAAAGAATAGAGTTTTTTCAGAAAAGAGTTTTGAGACAAGCTCTTTTCTTAACAAAAAGTGATTAAGGAAGAGTATAAGAAAGACGCTATTCATTTAGAACAGAGTCCAATGAAGATATTCTGTATTAGAAATTAGTCTAAAGAAGATACTTTTTCTATAAGAAAAGAATCTAAAGAAGACATTTGTCTATTAAAAAAGAGTCTAAAGATGTCATTATTCTTTTAAGAAAGAGAAGAGTAAAATATTAGAAAGCAATTTAAGGATAATCTTTTTCTATTAGAAAAGAGTCATGATGATTACATTGTAATAGAAATTAGACTCTTTTCTATTACAATGTAATCATCATAAGAAGACACTTTTATGTTAGAAAATAGATTTAAGAAAAGTATAGGAAAAGCACTATTCTATTAGAAAAAAGTCTAATGAAGATAGTTTTCTATTAGAAAAGAGTCTAAAAAAGACACTTTCTCTATTAGAAAGTCTAATGATGACAGTTTTTTTTTAGAAAAAAGTTTAAGGATAACCTTTTTCTAATAGAAAAGAGTCTTAAGAAGATTCTCTTCTATAAGAAAAGGCTCTAAAGAAGGCACTTTTTTAGAAAACTGATTTAGGAAGTGAAGATAAGAGCCTTAAGATACACCTTTTCTATTAGAGAAGAGACTAAGGAGAATAGTTTTCTATTAGTAAAGCTTTTAAAAAACACAGTAGAATATTAGAAAGGAGTTTATGGATAACCTTTTTCTATTAGAAATAGACTTAAGAAGATTTTCTATTAGAAAAGAGACTAAAGACTATATTAGAAAATATATTTTAGAAAAGTATAAGAAAATCACAGTTCTATTAGAAAAGAGTCTAATGAAGATATTTTTCTATTAGAAAAGAATCTAAAAAAGACACTTTCTCTATTAGAGTAGAGACTAAGGAAGATAGTTTTCTATTAGAAAAACTTTTAAAGAACAAAGTAGAATATTAGAAAGGAGTTTAATGATAACCTTTTTCTATTAGAATAGAGACTTAAAAAGATTACATTCTATTAGAGAAGAGACTAAAGAAGATATTTTTCTTTTAAAGAACACAATTTTTTATAAGAAATGAGATTTAGGATAATTATAAGAGTCTGAAGAAGATATGTTTCTATCAGAAAAGCGTCTAAATAAGATACATTTTCTACTAGAAAAGAGTCTAAAGATGCTTTTTTATTATAAGAGAGTTTAAAAAAGATACTTTTCCTTTAGAAATGACATTAAGAGTGTAAGGAAGATACTACTTTATCAGAAAATAGTCTAAGATGATGATGAAAAGAGTATGAGGAAGACAACAAAGAATCTATAGAAAACATTGTTCTTCTAGAAAAGACTCTAATTAATAGACTATTAGAAAATTGTTTAAGAGAAATGCTTTTCTATTAGAAAAACGTTTAAGAAGGATAATTTTCTATCAGAAAAGAGTCTAAAGCAGTCGATTTTCTATTAGAAAACAGTCTAAAAAAGACAGTGTTCTATTTCAAAAGAATCTAAATAATGTACTTTTCTAATATATAGACTGTTTCATATTAGAAAAGTGTCTTTCTAATATGAAGCACTTTTTCTATTAGAAAATCGTTTAAAGGAGGCGCTTTTCTATTAGAAAAGATGTTAAGGAATAGACACTTTTCTATTATAAAAGAGTTATGAATATACTTTTCTTTTAGAGACGAAGGTACTTTTCTTGTAGAAGAGAGTCTGAAGAAGATACTTTTTTTATTAGTCTAAGAAAGACACAAATTTATCTGTAAATAGTAAAAAGAAGATACTTGTATATAGACAAGAGTCTAAAAAGACACTTTTGTATAGGAAAGAGTCCTAAGAAAGTAATTATCTATAAGAAAAGTGTCCAAACAAAAGTCTTTTGTCTAGAGAACAATCTAAAGAATAGGAAACTCTTTTAAATTGTGTTTTTACTTTATTTTCATAAATTTTGTGGTGTTTTGTAAAAAAAAAAACTTTGTTACTTTTAGTAAATTATTAAATTTTGAACAAATTTTTATAATTTCTTATTATTTTTGTTTATTTTTTTATAGATGATTTTGTGGTTATACAAACAAATGTAATTTTAAAGAAATTCAATACAAAAAGAAAGAAAGAATAGTTGGCATTTGAATTTTTACAGCTTTGATAACTATTTGTTAAGTTTATATTTTATTTTTATTATTAAAAAAAACAAACAAAATATATATAAATATTAGTAATCCAAAAAAAAAAAGAAGAAGAAAAACAAAATTTTGTTTAGCTTAAGTTTATCTTAATAAGATATAGCGCAAACAAGTGGCCACACAGACTTGTAACAAACAACAAATAAAACAACTTTTTTTAGCTCTTAAAATATTAAAATAAAAAAAAAAGAAATAAAAACAAATATAGAAATGATTACCAACTACTTATATATATAAACTAACAATCTAGGATAGTTTTTTCTATTATTATCATTATAATATTAATTATAAAATATAAAAAAAAGAGAAAAATAAAATCATGTCATTATAAAAAACACAAAATTAAACAAAAAAACAAATCATTTAAAATGAAAAAAATATTTAATTAAAAACAAATTATGTAAAGTAAAAATAACTTATAGACAATGAAACAATGAAGTAAATTAAATTTAAATAAATTAGAAAAAGGTTTTGTAATAAAAAAAAAACCAAAACTAAACATTTGAAATAAAAACAATATTAAAGTAATAAATATAAAAAAACATATTATATATACATAAAATAAAATATTTAGTTTATAAAAAACAACAAATAAAAATTAAATTAATAAACAAAAACAAGAAAAAAACAACATATAAAAAGAAACTATTATTAAATCCAAACATTATGAGAATTAAATCAAAGTTTAAAGGCACAACCACAGAATAACAGTTTAAAAACGAAAAGGATTAAGCAAAGTAAGCGGATTTTTTGGGTGTGAGTGTGTGTGTGTGTGAGAGACTGAAATGTAACTAAACAAAAAAATAATAAATAATTCTGGGAATTTCTAAAAAACCTAAAACAAAATTTTGTATTTAAATTGAAAATCTGAAAGGCAAGTTGAATTGTAGTTTAATTACTATTTAGTTTTTATAAAATTCTTTAAATTTTTAGTTTTTATTAAAAAAATTAAATAATATAAAACTAACCTACAAAAAAACGCTCAAAAGTTATATAAATATATATAAAATATTGAAATTAAATATAAAAAATCTCTTGGCTTGCCTTAATTTAAAAGAGATTTTGAAAATTTTAGAGCGTTTTTTTTTCATAGAAATTGTATTATATTTAAAATAATAAATAAATTTATTTAATACAAAACATTATATTATAATAATAATCCTAATATCGCCAGAAATTTTCTTTAAAACGTTTTGAAACTAAATCGTTTTTCTTAAGTACTTTTAACTTTCGAAACGTTCTAAAGAGTAATTAATGACTTCTAATGACTCCTTTTTTTATTTTTTACTTTTTAGTTTTCTTATTTTTTTTATTAAATTGAACAAACCAAGTATAATTTATTTAAAATTTTGCTAAAAACATAAACAAAAATATAATAATTAATATAAAAAAACAAAGCTAAATGTTTCCCAAGAACAAAAATCAACCTTGTTAAACTACTATGATAGATAAAAATTATTATATATAAATAAATAATAATCCATTAAAATAAAACCAAACAATGAAAAATAAAACTTTATTCTATTGTAAAAAGATATTTATTTCTATTTACGAGAGTGATTTATAAAAATATATATATACATATATTAATAAAAATATCAAAATTAAAGAAAAAAATAAACAAAGTGTTTTTATTTAAATTTTAAAATTTCTATACGAAAATAACCTCCTCTCCTCTGCATTAGACTCTTAACTTTAATAAAGAAACTTCTTCAGACATTTTTTAACAGAAAAGTTTTCTTTAAACTCTTTTCCATAGAAAACTGTCTTCTGTGGACTCTTCTATAGGAAATTGTAATCTTTAAAACTTTTTCTAACGAGAAGGGTCTTCTTTAGACTCTTTTCTAAAGTGAAGTCTACTTTTTAAACTCCTATCCAACGAAAAGTCTCTTTATTAGACTATTTTCAATAGAAAAAGTGACTTCTTTGAACTATCTTATAGAAAAGTATGTTCTTCGGACTCTTTTCTATTAAATTCTTTGAACTCTTTTTTATAAAAAAACATTTCTTCTTTAGAATCTTTTCTATATAAAATTGTCTTCATAATACTATTTTCTGCAGAAAAGTGTCTTTTTTGAACTCTTTTCTATAGTAAATATCTTTCTTGGACTCTTCTATAGAAAGGTATACTCTTTGAACTATTTTCTAAAAGAAGTGTCTTCTTTTGACTCTTTTCTATAGAAAAGTATCTTCTTTAGAACCTTTCAATAGAAAATCATCATCTTTAGACTTTTTTCTATAAAAAAGTGTCTTCTTCAGAACCTTTTCTATAGAAACGTTTATTCTTTCGAATACAACTCTTTTTTCTATATAAAAGTAATGCAAAGTCTCTTTTTTTGACTAATTTTTTTAGAAAAATTGATTCTTTGTACTATTTTATAAAAAAAAGTGTCTTCTTTAAAATCTTTTCTATAAGAAAGTCTAGAGAATAGACTAATTTCTAAAGAAAAGTGTCTTCTTTCGACTCGTTTCTAAAGATATCTCTGTTCTTTAAACTCTTTTCAATAGAAAAGTGATTTCTTCAGAATCTTTTTTATAATCTTGCAAAGAAATAAGGAGTATTTTTTAAAAAATGTTCTATAGAAGCATTTTTTAAACTAAACTTAACAGAAGTATAATTTGAATGAAAGTTTAAAAAAATGTGATTTAATTTTTACTCAAATCTTGCTCAAAATTTCTCTGGGTTTTAAACAAGCGTAAAAATACTTTTCTCAAATCTTGTTAAAAAATTTCTCTCAGTGTATTACATTAACAAAAGTACTTATCTAAAACTACAGCATACTTTTAGGATGAATTTTAACTGGAAACAAATTTCAATTTTATTGATTTTAACTAAAATCAACACTATTTTATTGAAATGTTTAATTTATTAAAATAAAATGTTTAAATTTATTAAAATAATTTTTAAATGTATTAATAATATTTGCTTTATTATAAAATAAGTATAAATTCCTTTACGATATTCCACCAAAAGTATTATTTTTACACATGACAACCATCTGGCTACTTTTTTAAGGCTGAACAAAAATAAAATCACCACATTAACGACATTGTTTAGCTGCAGTACGAAAAAGAATATAGTAGAACTGAAATGCAAAGTTTCAAACAACGGCTAGCCGTCGCCTATTATTATTGCTAAGGTTTTTAATATAAATAGAAAACAGTTTAAATGAATTAATAAAATTTACCCTATATTTTGCTTAGTAATCTTAAAAATGTAAATAAATTTTTTAAATTTTACAATTTAAATAACAATTAGGTATATATTTTAATTTTTTTCTTTCACTACTATAAGCCGCCGCTGCCAGTTCTAAAAACAAACGTCGTCAGCATAAAATCTGCTAGACTTTGATGTCCAATGTAGTGTTCTTTGTTTTATTGTCAAATTTCATTGGCTTAAGAAAATCTAGTGTTTTATTCGATTGATTTAAAGTGTAAAATTTATAAAATTATTAAACAGTTTGTTTATTAATAATAAATAGACCAAAAACTTAGCAAATATTGCCTGGGAAATAAAAGAATTTGCTTGTAGAGTAAAGAAAAGCATAATTTGTGCAACCATTTATAGTTTTTTTCCATTTTGAAAGTGTGTGCAAGTGTAAGAGAAAAAAATCTAATTTTCAATGCATCAAAAGCAAAATAACCAATAAATATATAGACAACAGAACGTACTAAAAAAAGAAAGAAAAAGAAAAACTATACATAGGAACACATACACCACTAACTAAACTAAACAAAGCGTACAAGAAAGAAAGAAGATACTACAGAGTAGAAAATTAAAAAAGAAAAAAATATATAAAAGAAAAAATATAAAATTTGTAGGTACTATATTATTTTTTTCTGTGTACATTTTTAGAAGTGAATGTGTGTTGGTGTGCTATTTTGTAAAATAATACAAAAAAATGGAAAAAACTATTATTACTCCCAATAATACGTGAGTGTAGTGCATACAAATTTGTCTAAGTAATAAAAGAACTAGAAAATCTTTGTGCTGGCAATTTTGTAACCAGATTCCTACTATTTTGATTAGATTGTACTAAATAACCAGCTGTTGTGTTGCAATCTTAATAAGCCTTAAAATAGTAAATCCAAGTGTTGCATTAAAAAAAAAAAGAAAAAAAAAAAACAGGCGAGCCCTTTTATCAAGTGAGTTACAACATACATTTTGTTTTTATTGTTGAGATAATGCAGCAAAATAATAAATTACATAAAAACTAGTTTATTTTTCATTTGGCATAATGCTGTGTGTGTTTTTTCTCTTTTTCATATTTATTATGTTGTGTTTTAATCGTGTTTGTGGGGCCACCATTATTGAATTGGGTCGTAATTTTTCATAATTCGTGTTTGCCACGAATATTTTTGTGGTGTGTATGCACTGTTTACATCAAAATGCATTTAGGTTAGAATTAGTGGATCAGCTGTTTAATGTCATCCTGAAAACCATATTGCCAGATTTATTTAAACAAAAAATCAAATAAAGAAAAATAAAAACAAACTAAACAGAGAGAGGGAGAAAAAAATACAAGTGGGATTCAAGGCGTATTTATAAGATGACAGCATTGGAGAGGGAGATAGCATTTTTTATATGCAGTTTGAAAAAAGCTAGAATAGTAAACAACAAGAAGCAGCTTTCAGAATGACAAAGAAAAGTGAAATAGAATTTAAAATTTTATTTTTTAATCACAAATAATTAGAACGTAAATTAATTTTTTTGTTGTAATTTTTAATAAAATTTCAATTTCTTAAAAAATAACACAAAATTTTTACTTATTAATTTAACAATTTATCTATTTGTTTACAGTTAATAAGTTTTTCGCCCTGGAGCAATCTTATCTTGTAATTGACCAGCTGTGTCAAAAACAGTAATCACAACAACAATAAAAAGAGTAAATAGAGTCTAGAATAAGCGAACCTGACGAGGTCGCTTGATTGCGCTTGCGGCTGAGAGAGTTCCTAGAGACGGCGCAAGGCAGGAAGTCAAAGAAACAAAGAACGAACGAGTACAAATAGGGAGTAGTAGTAGTAGGAGAGCAGCAGCAGTGGTCCTCGTTGGAGTGGGTGTTTTTAAAAGAGACTCAAAATTGATAGAAATAACAAAAAAGCTGCTGCAACTGGTGCCTCATCTGAGGACCAGCCGCCGCGCAAAAAAGGACGACGTTCAGCAGCAGGAGGTGCCACTACATCAACAGCAGCAGCCGCAGCCGCCGCAGTAGTAGTAGGAACGAATACAACGACAACAGCCTTAGCAATAACAACAACAGTAGCAGCAACAGCAACAACAGCAAGTTTGTTGGAAATCAACAACAACAGTAGTAGTACGAGTCTCAGTTCGTTAGTGTCCATAGACACAGAAACAGCAACAACCTCAAGAGCGGCTGCACAACAGCAAGAGCAGTTACGCCATCAAAATAATCGCGAAAAACAGACAAAAGGTGAATCAGCAAATAATAAACAAAACACAACAACAAATAGCAACAGCAGTTTGAACAATAACAAAACAAATAACACTAACAGCAATAGTAATAACAATAACAAAACAGCAACTACAACAAACGAGGCTAAAAGAAAACTGCCCCAGGACGGCGGAGGCAGTAGTGGTAGTGGCCAACTAGATAAGGACTCTGGTAGCACTATGCAAAATTCTGCTTTGAATCCTTCCACCTCCTCCTCATCGAGTGCCTCTTCATTTAGTGCTTCGACCGTGGAAAGTGGCGCCATGCCCAATTCAGCTCCAGCCGCTGGCAGTAGTAGTAGTAGTAGCAGTCATGCTGCCACTGACTCCTCTGCCGCCGCCGCCGCTTCATCGAGCGTTAATAATTCGACATCCACCAATGGACACGATTCCAAACACAACGGTTTCACTGCCAACCAAAACAATAACAACAACAGCAGCACAGAGGCGCCCAATAATTGCGATGATCAAAACAATCACAATGAAGTGGCCAATAAAACAATTTCCTGGTTGGGCAAGTCTAATGAGGAAATAATACGCCTTATTGGCCAGTATTTGCAAGATTTGGGCCTAAAGAAATCGGTAAAGACGCTAATGAACGAATCGGGTTGCTATTTGGAACATCCCTCCGCTACCAAGTTTCGTGAGCATGTCTTATCGGGCGAATGGAGCAAGGCAGATGCAGATCTAAAGGTGAGTGAACGTTACAGCAATAACCATAACAAAAAAAAAAAAAAAAACAAAACGGAGGAAAAAAAGAAATGCCAAAGAAAGAAAACTGAGTTTTTTTTTTTTGAAAATTGTGTAGCAGTTTGTCGTGTGTCAAAATGTATGTTCATACATACGTCCGTTCCATCCGTCCGTCTGTCCATGGTTTCTGGTGGGTGTATTAGTGCTTTTTATACATAAATGTGTATTAAAGTACGAGTGTGTGTTTTGCATTTCTGTCTTGTTAACTTTTTTATTTTTGTGCTGTTGTTGGTTTTTTTAATATTTTAAGGTATTTTTACGTCTTTACCATTTAATATTTTTTTGTCTTTTGTATAGAGTTTTTGTCTTGTTTTTGTTTCCATATTTGTTTTCTCCTCTACACATAGTTATCATTTCCGTAATAAACGCTCTTTGTTTACTTTGTTGGTTGTACAAAAAAATTACAGAAATTTCTTTAATATTCCAACTCTCCTTACACTCTTTTAATTGTATTTTCTTTTTGTACCTACCTCTCTTTCTCTCAGGGTATATCTAACTATGTTACCGCTGCTTAAACCTACTCCCTAACCCCCCTTGAGTAATTGTTTTGAATTGTTTACCCTCATCTTTATCATAACATTGATTTTTGTTTTTGGCTTTATTTTACAACAACAACTGCATTTCTATTCCTAAACATATGTATCCAAAATGCAATAGAAGAAGTTTGCAGCAGCTGCAACTGCAGCAGAAATTGACTGCTAAGCCATTAGTGTCAGGAGTACTGAAAACAGCAACATTGCCAATAATAATAACAGAGCAACAAAACAAGAAATGAGTTCATCTTTTGTTTATATTCCATACATATTCCCAGTGTATATGTGTGCCACCACTTTATATGGAATACACTTATGTGACTAGTGAACTCTTTCTTTCACTTCTCTCAACAGTAATCATGATGGCTGTCATATTTTTGCAAACATTTTAATAATAAATGTCTTGTCATCAATTGTTTTATATTTAAAATTTTATTATGTACAGAGATTTTTTTTTGTTAAAAATTTCCAAAATACCAGAAAAAAGTTTAAGTTTTAAAGATTGTGTTGAATGATGTTGTATCGCTATGTTTCATCTCCATTAGACACAACTGAGATTTCGTCGATCATTTACTCCTCTTTAGTTCGGCCTGCAGTTTCGTTTTCATGTAGATATTTGTCATTGGCAATTCTCTTTTCATTAGCATTCTGTCATTGAGCAGATAAATTAATTATACAGTTCTTTGTCGGTTTAATCTATCATATATTGAGATTCATATAATCATGATCATGGTAATATTTCCATGGGAATCTGCCAACGATCCTTCTGTTATTGAGCACATACATTAATGATAAAGAGTTCTTTGTCGGTTGAATCTATCAAGAATTGAGATTTCTTTGTGTTTTCATGTTATCCTGATCATGTCAATACTTCCATGGGGATTTTATTGTCATTTTGTCACTAAATTCCCTATTGTATCAATAACTGACTTCTATGCCTTATAACGGTAGCATGAACTTCTGTTAAAGTCCGCCCACAATACTACCTGTTTTCCACCTTCGCTATCCGTTGATTTAGTTGTTCAATTCCTTTCCTGCTCGTCACTTCTATCACTTAATGTTTTAGATTTAATGAATTCTTTATTGATCTTTAAAAACCCATTAGATGTAAGGTAGTGCAAAGGTCAATGGGGCCTTAGATATATTATCTCATCTCCTCTGTCGTTCTTCCATAGTTTTCTCTCTTTCCAGCGGATTAAACTCAAGTCAACCACATTCACTGCTTCTGCAGAAGAAAATTGAATTTCACATGTGGATTACACATCCCAGAAAGAATTTACTTATGTAAAATCACGGGCAACCCTGTTTGATTATTACTTTACTCTTTGTTTAACAAATCTCTTTCTCTAGCATTATTTTGTTTTTGTTGTTAGTGCTCTATCAGCTCTTCTTGTTTTGTTATTGTATTACTTTTTTGTAAACGAAATTTAAAAGACAAAGAAATTTTTTTTATAATTTCTTTTACATGTTCATGGAAATGGAAATATACACAGGTACAAACTCCCAGGCATATGTACATCCACCAATTGAATATACAAACATCCATATAAAGATAATGGTTGTTGGTAAATGTGATTGCAAACTAATCTTCCTTTGTTTTGTTGTTATTATTACTTACTATTATCAATACATACTATGTTCCACTGTTACCTTACTCCTTTAGCAGAGGACATTGTTCTCCATTATACGAAGTGCGTTGTATACAGCATTCGTTTACATATTTTGTTTTGTTATGGTTTTTGTTTTGATTTTATTTTTCTCATGAAAATTTACTACAGCAATCAATCATCATTGGTTGTTATTGTGGTTTTTTGGGGGACTTGGCTGTTGCTGATAATGTGTTCCTATCAGCAGCTATAAGTCTGGTTTAAAATGCTATATAAAATTTTATTACTCTTATACTTAATAGCTCGTATAAATATTTGTTTCTTCTACTTATTTTCAGGAACTAGAGCCCCTGATAGATAATGGCAAACCTTCGACTATTACCGAAATGAAATTTATCCTATTGGAACAAAAATATTTGGAAAACTTAGATGACAACTGTCATTTGGATGCTTTGCATGTTTTACGCAATGAGTTAACACCCTTGCAGCATAATATTTCACGAGTCCACCAATTGTCCTCGTACATGATGTGTTCTAATAGTCAGGATTTGCATCAACGTACCAAATGGGAAGGCAAAGGTATATTGTCAAGATCTTTGGTTATGGAACGTTTACAAACCTTTCTACCACCTTCCGTTATGATGGCACCGCGTCGCTTGCGTGCCTTATTACAACAGGCCGTTGAATTGCAAACACAAAATTGTCTCTTCCATGACATGGCCTGGGAGACAAATTTACAAAATGTTTCACTGCTGACCGACCATTGTTGTGCCACCGATGGTTTTCCCCTGCAGACCATACAAATACTATCCGATCACTGTGATGAGGTTTGGTTTTGTAAATTTTCACCTGATGGCCTTAAATTGGCCACCGGCAGCAAGGATGGCGCTGTTATAATATGGGATGTTGATCCTTATAAATTACAATTGAAACAGCGACGCTCTCTAGACTGTCAATCACAAGTTAGTGTGGCTTTTATTAGCTGGAGTCCCGATTCGAAATTGGTGTTGATTGTGGGTTCTGAGGATTCCACAGAAGTGTGTATTTTCAATGTGGACGACGGTCGCTTGCTGATGAAAATGAATAATATGAATCAGGAATCGGATAGTCTGTCATGTGGTGCATTCAATCGTGATGGTACACGTTTCGTTTGTGGTGGCCAAAAGGGTCAATTCCATTTGTGCGATCTCAAAGGTACGGTGCTGGAATCATGGGAGGGTGTACGTATTAATAGTGTGGCCTTCAGATCGGATAATAAGACTATATTAGCCGCTGATAATCACTATCGCATAAGGGGGTAAGTAATTTTATAAAAAAATTAAAACTTTATAAAGAAATAGGTGGGAGTAGTGAACACTATACTATCGAGGAATATAAATTATTGATTCTTAATATTTACAATATATTAAGAAGACGTATTATGAACTTTTTTAAGGCAGGGATTGTGACTACTATACTATCGAGGAAAATTAAACACGTTTGTAAAACGCTTATCGTAATCATTAGTCCTTAGACGCCTCACTATTTGTCTAACCTTGTAAAATCTTATAGTTTATGTTATAAAAAGATGTTTTAGTAAAACAAACCTATAAGATGAAACTGGTAAACACTAAATATGAAGAGAGAAGATTCATTTTAAACTATTTTAAGAAAATGTACTGGGGTTATGTTTGCTAAAATGCTGTCCTTTGTTTTCACGGGCTCAAAGGCCTCAAAATGAATTAACTTCACAAATAATAAGTCTAATCTTCTAACACAGAGAACAATTTTGTTAAAAACATTAGGTTTTATTGGAAAACTATTACTCTTTCCTACAAGAATTGAACGGAATAGAAATCAAAGCTTATACTCCAAAATATCAAGAACTTTAACGTCTAGCTTATGAACTGCATAGCTGATAAATGTCTTTCTACAATTTTCTTCTCAACTTTCAGGTACAACTTTGATAACCCACGCACAGATTTTGATGTACTCAAAGAATCACATCCGATTATGACATTTTCAGTCAATTCCGCTGATCGCTTAGCCCTGCTAAATGTCTCCAGCCAAGGACTACATTTATGGGATATTGAAGATAAATGTATTGTACGCAGCTTTCAGGGTATACGTCAAAGTAATTTCGCCATACACTCGTGTTTCGGTGGCGTTAATGAAAGCTTTGTCGCTAGCGGTAGTGAAGATAAACACGTCTGTATTTGGCACATAAAACGAGAAGAACCTTTGGCCAAGTTAGCCGGTCATGCCAAGACTGTTAACTGTGTTTCCTGGAATCCCGTTTATCCCTCATTGCTGGCCTCGGCCAGTGATGATTCGACCGTACGCATCTGGGGACCCACAGCGCCACACAATCTAAATGCAACACCCGAAAGTGACGATTGTTCATCATGTTCCTCTTCGTCGTCATGGAATATGACCTCCTAGAGCCTAAAGACACCAAGTAACGTAGCAGCCATGTGATCAGAGTGGCGATATTATTTTAGTTGATATAGATAAGAAGTGAGGGTTACATATAGACAACCAGCGCGCACCTATGTTGTAAGAAATTCATTTAGCCTTTAAGAGATACAATACGCTCTAGATGTTTAGTTAAAGAAAACCCCTTAAGAAAACGTTAAGAAGAAGAACTCTTGAGAACCAGTTAGGAAGCAAGAAAGAAAGGCATTTTCGTGCAAAATATTTGAAAAACGGTATATGAAAACAATACAATACAATTATATATATAAAGAAAGCTAAGCATTACTATATATTGTAAGCAATATACGAAATGGATTAAGGTGAATGAAGGAAAAATATATAGAAGATATAAAAAGCAAACAAGAAAGTGAAAGAACGTGGACAGTGTTATAGCAAAAAAAAAAAAAAGAAACATTGATGGCAAACATCAATTAATTAACAAGAAAAACTGCTCGTTTTTTAAACAATAACTTTTTAAACATGCTCATCAACACCTAAACCTAATTTAGTTATGTTTTTTTTTCTATTAATACAAACCAATACTTACATTTAGTTTTTTTTTTTAATTTTTAACTTTGCTCCCCTATAGTGGAACACGTTCGTTTTATCTATTTAGATAATTAAAATATATAGATTTTTTTAATTTTCGAAAACCAATTAAGTTTATCCTCGAAGTGATTATGGTAAAGAAACAGCGTTTAACTTCAAAATAATTATAAAAACTAAAAATAATAACATTTAAGCGAAGCAGAAAGGTTCGTTTTAAGTAGATATTAATTGATTTGTAAGTTCATTTACAACTAAGGATTGCTAGAAAACAAACTTACTCATTTCACCGGCCCCTTTTCAAAAACACTCAATAAACTTTTAAGTTTGAGGTTTTAAACGAAAGGAGGTGGAACAATATCAACAAATTGAGAAATAGAAAACAGCATAATATTTAAGTGATTACAAAAACTTTAAAATAAAAACAAACAAAAAATTAAGAAATATGCATAAACTAAACGAATTATAGTGATATAAGACATATTTTTAAAATGAATTATTATAAAAACAAAATACAAATAAAATACCAGAGGATAAAACACAGTTTTCATCTAATACAACTACCAGCATAAATAATGAAATGCAACAAAACAAACTTGAACTTCATTGCAAAAAAAAAGAAAGAGATCATAATCACATAAACGACTTAATAAACTAATAATAAAATCAGATATAAAACAAAAGAAATTGTTGAAATTATATTTATTTAAGGAAATTAAAGTGAAAAGAAAATGTAAACAGTTAAAGCAATCGTTTTAAGGCTACTGCTGGTGTGAGAGTGATATTTACTTAGAAGGTAATTATCAATATATTTTATAATATTTTTGGACTTTATTTTCCATTAAGGCAGAGATACTTAGCACTATACTATCGAGGAAATTATAAAGATAACAATAAAATTGTAATATAGTTTGGAAATTCTATGAACTGCACACATTTCTCTCAGTATTTAGAGAAATAAGCGCATAGAAATATGCTATACTTTATGATAACCAAGTGACCCCCAGATATTCTGTTCGAAAGAAAGCTATCATTTTTATTAACGTTTATAGTTTAATATATAAAATTATATAATTCAAGAAAAAAATCACACTTTTATCCAGTCTTTCTTTTCATTAACTTTCTGAAAAGTGCTCCTCCATATACACTGACAAATTTTGCATTATAAACTCCTTAATAATATAGACTGGCAAGACTATAAGAGCCGCTTGTAAAACACGAAAACGCGTGACAACCACATAAACAAATATCAAAGAAAACAAATGATGACCCGTGACCAAAGTACGATGTAAAGCTGCACCAAAATCTGTAGTATTTTCACGCCACAATATAATGGGCAAAAGAAAGAATTTTGAAAAATTTGCCAAAACATTGGCTTTTAAAAGAATAAAACCAAACGTTTTAAGACCCATATTAAGAATCACGTTTTTACGCAGAGCAATAGAGGCTAAGAGCAGCAAAAGAGTGGAAAGTAGGTAATCTGTAAAGAGAAGTTATTTGAAAGTTATTAAAACATATTTGAGATTAGATTCTGTAAGAGCTATTTGCTTTAAATTCTTAAAATTATAATTGAGAGCATTTGACCTTTTCTTTTAAATTGCCTTTAAAACCCTCAAAAAGATTTAATTTTATCATAATTATTCACAAAATACCCAAAATAATTGATTTTAATGACAAAATTACCGTTATTTTTCAAGTTATTGCATTTTATATGAATCACCCCCTAGAAATTATCATTACAATGTGGCATCCCTGTTGATTTGTTTACATAATAATGTCACAAACAAAATTACCGTTAATCGCTATTACTATTTCTCTGTTTTATATGAGACACCCTGTGTATATGTCAAATTTTATGACATATTTTCATGTTGTCAAAAATACAACAACACAAACTTTTTAGCGGAAATTTAAGCTTGTTCTTTTACATTTTGCCAGTCATCGCGCTTAAATTCGCTGGAATGGTTCGGTTTTTGTTAAAATTTAAGAAAAAAGTGTAAAAAAGAGAAAAATCCTAAAAGTTTGTTAATTTTTTAGTTAAAAGAGCCGCAATGCATAACGTGCCGTTGAATGTGTTTAATATTTGTGTATTTAATTGTGTGATTTGAAAGTTTTCCAAAAATTTGCCAAAAGTCTTGGCCTAATCATGTGAAGTTTTTAGTAAATTGTGAAGTTATTGCTGAAGTTTTGTAGAAAATGTATAATACAAAATCCTTATACGAAATATGTGAGCAAATTCATGTTTTTAAGGAAAGTATAATGTTTACTTTCCTAAAATCTGTGGTGGAACGGAATGCTGTTGCCAAAAGTTCGAAATAACAGAACTGAAGCAGTCACAATGATGCAAGTACATCTAGGTTGGCGTTATGTAGTCGGGAATATCATTAAGAAATGAAACAGTTATAATCGAATAATCTTCTATGGTTGTAATTGTCTGCCGGTTCTCGGCTATGACTATGTACGTCATAGTTTACTTGTGGGTCTCAATCCGGCAACAAAATGCTCCTAAAAATTTCTTTTATACATTCCGGCTTCTAACATTTTAAACAACATGGAAATGAAACGGATCCATACCATATATAGAGATAAGCTGGGATATGAATTTATCCAAGGATCATATAGTTTACACATTCTACAATGGGATGAACTTGGAATATTATGTTTTTCAAAGCTAAACTAAATTACTATCGAATATTGCAACGACAAGTGATTAGATTTGTTTAAGCCGAGTGAGGGGTAAGTGTTTTTGTTCTAAATTATTAAAGTTAAGTTAGTTTACTATAAAAATAAGGAAATTATAAAGGTGTTTAACCTACCACATATATTTTGACCACAGCACAAATAAAATCCATGTTCATTAACCAATATCGATTGTGAAATGTCATCATGAGTTTGTTCTCTTTTCTCACGCCACAGGGTAAATGATTCCAACAGTAATAACATTAAAGAAAGTTTCCAAAACAGCTAAAGAGAATAATTACAAATAAATGTTAAATCTTTATAAACAATTGAAAAATCTAAAGATTCTTACCTTAAAATCCCGATTAAATAAAGCATGTCTATAGGCCTGCTGAGATAAAAGCATAGAATCCACTAATATAATTACCGGCTCAAATTCTATATATTTATCAGCTATATGATGACATTTTTCCTGAAATTGAAAAGGGGGTTTTCAGTTATGGAACGTTTTTTTTAAAGAAATTGTTTTATGTATTTTGTTTGTGTTCTATAGAAAACTTCTTATTTAAGCATATTTCTATACATAAGCTTTTTATTTAGATATTTTTCTGTAGAAAAGAGTCTCCTTTAGACAATTGTCTATAAAAAGTATCTTGTTTAAACGACTTTGTTAAGGAAAGTACTTTATTAGGCAACTTTCTATAGAGAAGTGTATTCTTTAGACTATATTTTTAAATAAAGTGTATTTTCTATTGAAAATGGTATATTTTAGATAGGTTCTTAGGAAAGCGTTTTCTTTACATGATTTTCTATAGAAAAGTGTATGACAAGAATGTCTTCTTTAGAAAATTTTCAATAGAAAAGTTTCTTTTTTTCGACAATTTCTATAAAACTCTGTCTTGTTTAAACAACTTTCTCTAAAAAAGGTTTTCTCGCTGAACAACTTCCTTGTGAGAATATTTTTCTTAGAAAATTTACATAGAACAACGTCTTCTTTAGACAGTTTTTTATAAAAATACTTTGGTTAGACAATTTTCTATAGAAATTTCTTTCAAAACATAAAAACCACTTTCCGTTTAAAGAATTATACGGAATTAATACGGATTAGTAGTTTTCCTTCTCTTCACTTACACAATTCACCGTTTTCACTGTATTGCTGTATTTCTTAAACAACTCCTTGACCTTTTGCCCACAATTAATGCATACGTAGGCCGGCACATCTTTTGTTTTAGACATGTTTTTATAAATTTTCACTATTTTCCACAAAATTTTAATAATTTTCTCAAAAAATCGTGTTATTTATCAAAAAAGTGTTTTTGCTGCTTAAAAAAAAGAAAATCAATAGCAAAACCAATAAAAAAATAAACATAAACAGATGTTTATAAAAACAGAGTAGCCAGATGCTATTACATTGTTGTTATGATGTGGTTTCATATTAACATAAGGTTGGTGTCTTGACTAAGCAATCGGAAAAAGGTTTAAGGTTGCCAGAGGATGTTGTAAGTGTTTTAAAACCGTTTAAGGCAAAATAGTGTTGAAATTTTCACTAAATTTGTATAAGAATTTAAAATTTATTAAAAAATATTGTAATTTTTCACACAACAAAAGAAAATAAAGCATATTTTACAGTTTTCATATACAAAAAAACGTCTTTTTAAAGAAATTTTTTCAATTTAAAAATTTGTAAGGATCTGCGGCTGAGTTTAAGACTTTTGATGGAAAGTTGAAGTGATTACAGATTTTCACAATTTTCTGATTTAGGCCACTTTTAAGGATTTTTTGAAATATTTTCAAAAACTTCTTTAAAAAAACATATAATAAAAAACAACTGCCATTCATTCTTTACTTCATTATTTCTTAATCGAACCAACGTTTTCTTTTACAAATTTTCTCATTCAGTAATTTCTGCTTAAGTACACTTCACATTCTCAATTTTCCTGTTCGCAGGTTTCCAACAAAAAGGACATAAAAATGCGTAATAAGTTGTGTACATATGCACGCAAATAATTACGTATTTGTTTTTTGTTCGCTTTGTATTGGTATCATTGTTTTATTTTGTTTTTTTTTTTTCCAACTTTTGGTTTGTTTTGTTGTTGTTTGTTATACACCGTGTAATTGTGAAATGTGTAATTAAGTCCTTTGTGTGTAAATTTTTTCGCATGGTTTCCATATCCTGTGTGTGCTTTGTAGTGTTTACATATTAAAAATGAAAAAAGTAAAAAATAGAGGAAGTAGAAAAAAATAATTAAAGATGAGTAAAATTGGTCGACAAATGTAGTAATAAAATGTGAACAATAAGCAGTAATTTGCTTCCATAGAAATCTATATGTTGTAAAAGTTTAAATACGACTCTAATAGAATTCGATTTTCATTTTTAAGTTGTGTTTTGAGAAAATATCGAACTCCTACGATCACTTCAGTTTTTCATAAAAAAACGTGTTATATAACAGAAACCTAAAAACGGCTGTAGTTCTGTTAGTAGTAGTAAAACCGTATTCTATAGACTAATCTCAGAATAATTCAAAAACTCCTTCAACCGATCCTGTAGAGTTTCTAGGACATTATGGCCGAAGTTAAACCCAAAAGCAACTATTAGGACTGTACAGGAAGAGTTAAAGATTTTACTAGGAGATGTACATAGCAGGGTGTAACTTGGGCGACATTCTGGGATTCACTAAGGGGATGTTTTGGTTATTCAGATAACAAACAATTAGGGATTTCCCTTCCATGCCCACCTTCTTTCTTTGATCATTTTGGGGGGAAATTCTTATTCTCCTTATCTATATCTTTTCTTCTGTCTTCTTTTTATTTTTCATTGTTCTTTATTCGTTTAAAGGGAATCTCAAAGGACCTTTGGGTCGCCGAGTGGATGATACTTTGGTATACAACCCTTTTAAACTTAATTAAACTTGTTAGTTAGTTAGTTAGCTAGTTAGTTAGTTACTTAGTTAGTTAGTTAGGTAGTTAGTTAGTTAGTTAGTTAGTTAGATAGTTAGTAGATAGTTAGTTAGTTAGTTAGTAGTTAGTTAGTTAGTTAGTTAGTTAGTTAGTTAGTTAGTTCGTTAGTTAGTAGTTAGTTAGTTAGTTAGTTAGTTAGTTAGTTAGTAGTTAGTTAGTTAGTTAGTTAGTTAGTTAGTTAGTTAGTTAGTTAGTTACTTAGTTAGTTAGTAGTTAGTATTAGTAGTTAGTTAGTTAGTTAGTTAGTTAGTTAGTTAGTTAGTAGTTAGTTAGTTAGTTAGTTAGTTTAGTTAGTTAGTTAGTCGTAGTTAGTTAGTTATTAGTTAGTTAGTTAGTTAGTTAGTTAGTTACTTAGTTAGTTAGTTAGTTAGTTAGTTAGTCTAGTTAGTTAGTTAGTTAGTTATTTAGTTAGTTAGTTAGTAGTTAGTTAGTTAGTTAGTTAGTTAGTTAGTTAGTTATTAGTTAGTTAGTTAGTTAGTTAGTTAGTAGTTAGTTAGTTAGTTAGTTAGTTAGTTAGTTAGTTAGTTAGTTAGTTAGTTAGTTAGTTAGTTAGTTAGTTAGTAGTTAGTTAGTTAGTAGTTAGTTAGTTAGTAGTTAGTTAGTTAGTTAGTTAGGTTAGTTAGTTAGTTAGTTAGTTAGTTAGTTAGTTAGTTAGTAGTTAGTTGTTAGTTAGTTTAGTTAGTTAGTTCGTTAGTTAGTTCGTTAGTTAGTTTAGTTAGTTAGTTAGTTAGTTAGTTAGTAGTTAGTTAGTTCGTTAGTTCGTTCGTTAGTTCGTTAGTTAGTTCGTTCGTTCGTTCGTTAGTTAGTTCGTTAGTTCGTTAGTTCGTTAGTTCGTTCGTTCGTCGTTAGTTCGTTAGTTAGTTAGTTTTAGTTAGTTCGTAGTTAGTTTTCGTTCGTTAGTTAGTTAGTTAGTTCGTTAGTTATTGTTAGTTAGTTAGTTAGTAGTTCGTTAGTTAGTTGTTCGTTAGTTGTTAGTTCGTTAGTTAGTTAGTTAGTTCGTTTCGTTAGTTCGTTCGTTAGTTTCGTTCTTCGTTCGTTCGTTCGTTTCGTCGTTTTCGTTCGTTCGTTCGTTCGTTCGTTCTTTCGTTCGTTCGTTCGTTCGTTCGTTTCGTTCGTTAGTTCGTTCGTTCGTTCGTTCGTTCGTTCGTTAGTTCGTTAGTTCGTTCGTTCGTTCGTTCGTTCGTTCGTTCGTTCGTTCGTTCGTTCGTTCGTTTCGTTCGTTCGTTCGTTCGTTCGTTCGTTCGTCGTTCTTCGTTCGTTCGTTTCGTTCGTTCGTTTCGTTCGTTCGTTCGTTCTTTTCGTTCGTTCGTTCGTTCGTTCGTTCGTTCTTCGTTCTCTTCGCCCCTCTTTGCCCCCCTGACGGGTGTTTCTGCGCTTGCGGCCCCGTCTCCTTTGCTCCTTGCTTTTGCCCTGCTTTCCTTTTCCTCTCGTTTGCTCTCTTCCCGGAGTTTTTCTCCCTTCCTCTTGTCCTCTACCGTATTTTTTTTTGCCCCCCTCTTGTTCAAAAAAATTATTGTGATTGTTCTTGAGCGGAAATATCAACAGGAGACACACACACTGGTTCCACAAGTAAAGTATAATCGTCTACATTACGGACGTAACCATCAGTAATGAAAGCTTTTATCAAAAGCCGACATTACTGCCACCCAGAATACGAACGAAACGCCTGAGAGATGAATAATCTTGAAATATAGTCATTTTGTCTATCTTACTGTCGGTTTTTAGTTTTTTTATATCTTTTAATTTTTTTGTACTTTTATTTTGTAAATCGATTCGCAGCGCCGCTCACAACAAAGTGAAAAATTGGTGGAAGAAACTAAAAGTTCATGTTCGTATTTGTGTGAAGAAAAGTTGGGGGGGCTAAGAGGAGAGCGCGAGAGTGTACATTAATAGTTGTTGTTTTGAGTATGAGTACGTTTTAAGCAAATGTCGACTTGATTATCGGATACTGGATTGAGCGCATGCGCGCAATATGCAAGTATGGACAACGGTTGTATTGTTGTTGTTTTCATATCTTTTTTGTTGTTGCTTTTGTTTTTTTTTTTTATTAACACATCAAAAGATGTGTGCCGCGCAAAAATTATTTCTGCTGGCTCGTTGTTGGCGGCTTTCTCAAACGTTCCAACGTGTACATATCGGTCTATATCGGAACACAGTCTTTTATGCATACATACATCCATATGTACATACATACATATGTACATATCTATCCACATACAAGAGTATTCATTATTAATTGTAGCTGGATTTATTAAATTATTACTTATTTACAATTAAGTGTGAGTGTGGTTGGTTGCTTGGTTGTGTTTTGTTTTAAATGTTTTGCGGCATTTTAACGCCCTGTACCAACCGAACAAACAATCAACCAACCAGCTGGTCTTAGACAATATCATCATGATCGCATGATGATCTAAACTTATACGAAGCAGTACATATAATGTATAAATGCAGGCAAAGTATCAATTCCATTGTTTTACATTTCTCCCTAACATTATCATCATGTCTTCTACCAGCAGCATTTACATGAGTGTCACTTAAATTATACAATCGAGATTCTTTGATCTTTCTATGAATGATTTCCTCTTGGTCAGAAATTCTTTAGGAAGCCTTAAGAAATTAAACTTAATTAAGTTTCTTAAGATTTTATTCGAATTCCAAAGCAATGGGAAAAAAGATCAATATGATCATAGAACTGATCACAGAATGTTATTGCCTTTGGGGGTTCTCAACGGGAGAGTAATCTACGGCCGATTTTAGGTTTTTCAAATAAACTTTTAATGAATAATGAAAGTGTTTGCCGATGTTTGATTTTTATTCAATCGAAACTTCTTTAAGGAAAATTCAAGTGATTACCGATTTGCCCAATTTTAGGATATAGACCGATTAGGTTTTTTCATATAAAGATCTCTCTTTCTTTCAAAGATTTCTAATAATTTTGATTAATGTTTGTAATTTAGTTTATTTCTTTTGATAACTCTTTGAGTTTGAAGTATTGCAACAAAATTATTGCCAACTCACGTACGCTCCATAAAATGCAAACACTTAAAAACCATAAAGTGCTACTGGATAATATGTATAGATATCGGGGGTTGTTGCAAAAGTATTTGGCTGTAAATAAAAAAAGTAACTCAAGACTTTTTAAAACAATTTCCAACTTTTTTATTTAACAGAGAAATTGTGAACAGTTGTGGGTATTACAAAAAGGGTGTTTTTTTGCTTTATATATTTCTCCAAGAACTTCTCAGTAGACCCACATAGTTATGTGTATGCTGTTTTATGTTTATATCTGCATAATACATATGTTTGCATATGTATATTTGTCTGTATTTAAAAGTTGATGACTTATGATTGCAACGATGAAAGATGACTCTGATGGAGATGATGATGGTGATGCCGCTGCTGTTGATGATGATGATGATTCTG